GTTTCCCTGTGTTTTCCAGACTTTATGCTAGGCTAGGCTAACAATGCATACCCCAACTCCTGCAGGTATTAATCTAATTTAATTCCCCAATCTAATGTCATCAGAAAGAGACTACTCCAATTAAACTATTACTCAAATGTGTATAGTGTGTGTTATTTCATGATTCTGACATGATTCTGTGTATTATGTATTTTGTTTTTCATACAAAATTCGTGGAACAAGCTTTTCTGTCTGTCAAGGGTTTTGACATGGAAAGATCATATAGTGGAAAAGTTTAGTAAGAGTCAGTTGAGCTAATTTATATAGTCTCTGTGTTCAAAGGGTTAGGGCTTATAAACTGTTTTGAAATATTACACAAAATGCTTCCATGCCCCCGGTGATTGCTGTGACAGGCTTATTTAAGACATAGCTGATGAATCCCTCAATAGAAATTCTACCCAGGATCCTCTTGGGACAGCTTTAGAGATTACAGTGGACTAATGGTCCCCTGTTTCCTTCCGCAGTCTTCTCCCAAACAGGGACACTGCAGGACGGCAAGGCAAATAATGACCTTTTATCGTTAACTTAAAGAAATAGTTCAGCGTTTTCAGAAGTATTTCGTAGTACAGAGCTGGAGCCAAGATGGGGTTAACCTAGCTTAGCATAAGGAGGGGTCTGGATCCAAAGTTAAAAAAGATACCAACTCTACCAACTGCTCTGAAGCTTACTAATCAACATGTCTGTTTGAGTCACGGACTGGAAATATTTCTTAATGAACAACAATTTATACTGCTGTGCAGCTTCCCTGGCTTTACCGTGAGTTACCATACTGTCAGTGAGTGAGTCATCGGGCTGTGAGGTTTTGGTACAGGTACTCTGGATGGCAAACTTGTGTCTCAGGTTATTTGGTCCAAGTCATTTTTTCAAGTGGAATCCTTAGGTAAGGCAAGGGAAGTGATACTTAGTGAACTTTAGAGGTGTTGGCAGGTATCATTCTTGAAATTTGGCAAGTGCCAAGCTAGACGTTTGCCCTGCTTCCAGTCTTTATGCTAAGCTAACCACATCCTGGTTCCAACTTTGAAGTGAACATACAGACATGAGACTGATATTGATCCTCTGATCTCACAGAAAGAAAATAAGTATGTTCCCCAACAAGATGCTCTCTAACTAGATCTGTGATGATTTCTTCTTGAGTTAGCATGCTTAGTTTTGTCAAAACTGTGAACACATGCGGCCAGATGCCACCAGGCCAACATGTGCGTTACCAGGGTAACAGGATATCAAAATGACTTGAGGTCTTCAAACTGTCACTCATTTGTAATTCTCGTGTCATGAGAGGGAGATTAGATGGCTGTAAACTGACAAGAAGGGTGCTAAATCATGAACAAGCAGCCAATGAACCTATGGATTAAACTGCCTCCATCTTAAATATGGGCTACTTTAGGGAATTAATCAGGAATGAGATATTCTTAGGAACTGTCCTCAAAGGGACATTGATGCTCAGTGTGAGGACAACGTGCAATGTGGATTATCACTGCAGCCAGAAACTGCCTTTCATTTACCTTTTTTTAACCGGCATGTGTGTTTCTATTGATTGAATAACGGCTTCAGACATTTTGAATATGGCCTCCTCACAAGTCTCTGAAAGCCAAAGTCAATGCGGTGGATTGCAAACAGAGTTCATCCTAATCTTTAATGCAACAGATGGCAGAATCTCATGGCTTATGAGTTAATGTCAAGTCAAGTTCAAGTAGTCTAAATAAAGGGCTGCTAAGCAGAGGTCGCACAGTCCATTATCTGCCACAGATGCACTTTGATATCTTTTAATGGACAGATTTGAACACTTGCTGCTCCCAGAGCTACAAGTCTTCATCATCAATAATACATCCAAGCAATACAGTTTGACATATTGAATAGAATGCACTAATATATGTAAATTAATTTTACATTGCTGTTTATCCAGTAAATAGATCAGTCTAGCTCTCTTTACACTCATGCATACTGTCAATTTCTGATGGATACTGAATGGTCCACTGTTGATCTTCTGGAAGAAATGAAATATAATATTCATAGGTATGTTTTCATTAGTGTATAATTACCTGAATATAGGAACTGTTACGTGTTTGTTACTTTAGAATAAGCCCGCCATGTTGAACCGCCTTGTAGCCCAGAAGGGACAAACCAAACACTTGCTCTAGATAGGGGCATTCGCGTCTATCGCACATTTCGTGTCCACCGTCTCCTTTGTGCTTAAAAGAGGAGGGTGAAGCAAGGGAGTTGTGATCTGAAACTGCACTACTAAATGCAACTAAATCCTACACACTTATATTATTTGTGTTTAGTATTTCATGGTTTATTTTGAGCAAAGTTAAAAGAACTGAATTTTCCAGACATGTATTAGGACATAAATAGTTCCACAAGGGAGTTTCTTAGGGCCCTTCTTATTTTCATTTTTTATAAATGATTCCACACTTCCATATATTGTTAAAAATGCTGATGTAGTTGTGTATGCCGATGATTCAACTTTGTTCAGTGTGTCACCCACATCAGTGGATCTGAGAGAGTCTACGTGTTGAGTTGGATGCTATAAGTAAATGGGTGAAAATAAATTGGTACTGAACGTTGACAAAACTAAATGTATTGTATTTCATAATAGGAATACTCTTGCTAATAACACTGCACTCAACTTGTCTTTAGATGGGATATTAGTTGAGCAGATCACCAAAACCAACTTACTGGGTGTTTAGATTAGATAATTTACTGTCTTGGTCTGACCAGATTGATCAAATTGTTTCTATGATGGGAAAGGGCATTGCTATTTCAATGAAATGTCCTGCACATGTTTCACCTTCTGTTATGAAGGCTGTTGTTCGGTCACTGTCATACCTGAGGTACTCCCCAGTCATCTCGTCAAGTGGTGCTGAGAAACATCTAAAAAAAACTTCAAATTGTACTGAATCGAGCAGCCAGATTAATTCTTCATTGTTCTTTTCGTGCTAATGTGTGTGAGATGCAGAAACAATTATCCTGGCTCACTGGTCATATGGCAGTACCAAGTCTATGAACAAACTGTATGATGAGAACTGTTGTGTATAGAGCTAACTCTGCTGGAATATGCTCTCCAGCAACATCAGACAGTTCAAAAGTAGATATTCTTTCAAAAAAAAAAATCTTACACAGATGTTATTTTGCTATTGCTGTTTTGGAACCTTTTTAGTTTTGTATGGTATATTTATTGTTTTGGTGTTTTACATTGTTTTCACATGTAAAATAATTTCACCATTCACTATTCAGCCTGCTTTTAGGTTTCCTGTTTTATTGATACTGTATGATTTTAAATCATTGATTGTTTTTATTGTTATTGTTTTTGTGTGGACCCCAGGAAGACTAGCAACCACTTTGTGGCAGCTAATAGTGATCCAATTTAAGAATAAAGAATAAATAGTCAGCTTGGAACTTTATTTTTTTTCCTGCAAAACAGTATAATTTCAACATCAAAACCATTAAAAAGTCATCTACTCCTTCTACCCCATAAAAAAGTTTTCCTGTCTCCCACTTCACTGTAAAGTCCATTCTCAGTGGATGTGCACTGGTAGCTTCAAGTTTCTACATCACACTGTACAAGTTGTACAGTGATGTCACAAATCATGCTGGTAGGCCCCGCCCCTCAAAATCTGATTTTCAATGAGCACAGAAAAACTTTCTACTTTCAGCAGATGAATGTGAAAACATCCTTCTAGTGTCAAACTCTGCACAGACAGCATTCAAACAGCAAACTATAGGGACAAGAACAAACACTGGTTTTTGTTTGGAGTAGGACTTTTAAATTTTAGAAGGTAATCTGAATACAGTTGCCACTTTTAAGTCCATGTGCAATAACACTAAAGGCATATTATAAGGGAACAGTATTTTCCTTACAACTGAAAATGTAGACAACAGCGCCCTCCAGTGTCACTGCTGAGAGAAACCACAGGCACTTTGGTATCTTGCTTGAAGATGGCATCATATGTATTATGTCTTGCTGCAGTGGTGGACTGCAGTAAGAAGGGCACAAGCTGCATGTGGTGGGACACCAGCATACAGCTGAACAACACTGTGAGTGTGATACCCATGTATGTTTTATTGGAACTGGATACTAGACTCAAAGATGGCACCCAGTCACTTAAGTGATTGATTCGGATAAGGAAAAACTCCCCAAAGAACAGTTTAACAGATACAAAAATGTGAGAAACCTCAGCAAGAGCAACATGATGGACGGGCATGGAATAGATGTCGTGTGTAGAGAATATAATAAAATTACAGTATGAGATTGTTAGTCAGATTTATTATTCTAGAACATTACTGGATAATTTGTTATTGTTATTTTACACACTAAATATATGATCAACAAATAGAATATGACACAATATAGATTAGACTATTCACAGTAGGCTAAATAAAGTAACTGAAATGAGCCCAACCCTGAAAGGACTAGGTGTATGCAAGTACATTTTGTTGACAATACTTCTATATTTTTTACCTTGGTGAAATTTTGAATGCAGAACTTTTAACAGCATCTCAACGTGGTCTTAATAGTAGGCCTATTACTTAACTACAACATTCTCAATAAGAGAAAGGTTGAAAATAAGGTACACTTCATCATTATGTCGAATTATATCAACTTTGGGATATTAGGGGTCTCTGCTTGCTCCAATGGATGCATTTTGTGTTCAAATGTGTGTAATTTACTGTTCTCCAAAAGTTGGGGAATTTATGGTTTCCAGCGGGGATAACATAGGCTGAAAAAAGAAGCTACTATTTGCTCTTCAAACTTTTGAAAACTCACCAGATAATGTCAAAGATGCACAGCCACCAAGATGGAAACAAGGCTGGTCTCTGAGACTTTAAATAGTTGATATTGTACAGCTAACAGGAAAAGTAAACTGCGCCGCATTTCTTCGTGGCGTATTCGTGACCCGCTCTTCTCTGCCTCTGATTGGCTAGAACTCGTTGCCTGCAAGTTCACGTGTGATTGACCGTTGTCGTGGCAACCGTAAACTATCAAGAGCCGGCTGAGTTGACTGAACATCTTTCCGGTGTTTACTGGACAGTTGCTGCCGTTTCCACCGTCCGTAACTTAGAAACTGACAGAGAACAATGTCGGATGCTGGATCCGATGAGTTTGATGATGACCGCAGTAAACTCGGGGTGAGAGAATATAATCAGCTCCATAGAATATAGAAGCTAGCGTTAGCATTGCCTTCCAGCTGTTTCCACCCGTGTTTGTAAGGCAGATCTGTGCTGCCTCCTGACCTGTGCTGTGTTCTCTTGTGTTTGACTGGCGCAGGAATATGAAGGGGGCAGGAATGAAGCAGGAGAGAGGCACGGAGTGGGTAAAGCCGTTCTGCCCAACGGAGACACTTATCAGGGGCATTATGAGAAGGGCAAAAGACACGGAGAGGTAACTGTGATACTAGAGGCGCTTTCTGAAAGTCAGTCAGTCAAATGGGGCTGAACACATTCAAACACATTCAAACACATTCAAACACAGCAGGTTTCTGCAGCCGTATTTCCACAACAGCCACAGCAATCAGTCCATGTAAGATGAGGAAAAAGTATGATTGAGAAAACTTAAATTAAAATGAAATATTCCAGATAGACCAGGTCCACCACATGGAAATGAGACTCCCTCAGATGTGGTAAAAATGAGCTTAATGAAATGTCAGTGTAGACTTTGCAGAAGTGGAATTAGGTACATTTGAATTTAAGCAATGCTCTCATATTGTATTTTTAAAAAAACCTTTATATCCATATTCAGTCTGTGATGACAACAATATTTCTATCACTGCCAGAGAAGTTTCAAATATGTTTCTTACATTTTATTTAGGCTTCATTTAACAGGGAGGGCCCATTTAGATTAAAAATCTAATTTTCAAGGGAGTCCTGGCCAAGACCGGCAGCAGCAAAAAATAAGTGAATTAAAGCAGATACAAAAAACCACAGTATTGCATCATATTACCTAGAGAATAAGAGTCCAGTACAAGCCATGAATTCAGCAATATCAGTTTAAACATCGACCCCTCTGTCATTCCATCTCCAGGTCTTCCAAAATTGATTTAAAATGAGTTCATAGCGTTTTAAAACTCTCTCTCATATATACCAGTATATTCCAATCTCTGTGCAAATATTTGGAACAACATATAAAAGTCCCTGGTTAACTGGTGAAAGAATTGTCTCTTTGACTAATCTATACTGTATTTATCATTGACTGTTTTGTCTAATAGGGGACATATCGCTTCAAGAATGGGTCAAAATATGTGGGAGACTATTACCAGAACATGAAACATGGACAGGGCACCTTCTACTACCCAGATGGCTCTAAATATGAAGGTACAATAAAGCTAGGAGCTGAGATAGCTGCCAACTGCATTTTATTAGTGTGTGTGCAGTGAGTGTGTGAAGGTTGGTCCATCTGAGGCCTTGACACAAAGTTTCAGAAACCAAACTCTTATCGTTGCCCCTCTGTGTCTGTCAGGGTCGTGGGTTGAGGACCTGAGACAGGGTCACGGTGTCTACACTTATCCCAACGGAGACACGTATGATGGAGAGTGGCTGCATCATATGAGGTATATCTTTCAGTTGTAAAATCACAAGTGCATATCACTGAGATGTTTTTCTGAAAGCGCACATTCACCTGGCGGGTTGGGACCAAATCCTGTATTCAAGGCCTAGCTTGATATCTTTTAAATCTAAACTTGATTTTAAAATGACTCAACATCTTCTGTGTTGTTCCATTGCCAGACAGGGCCAGGGAATTTACCACTACCACGAAACTGGCTCCAAGTTCAAGGGCTCATGGGTGAATGGCAAGATGGAGTCAGCTGGAGAGTACATTCACTCTAACCACAGATACAAGGGCAACTTTGTCAACAGTAATGTAAGTCCTGCTTTGATTTCGTATTCACAGAATGCTTGGCCAATGATTAATGAAAATATTTAATGGTTCATTTATGTTCAATCTCTGTAAGAGAAGTAATTAGGGCAGATGGTTTAGTGTACAGAATATTAGTAGTTATATTATGGCAATGACACAATGACTATTGTGAGTACAAACCAATGTAAACAATGGCTACAAAATTAAAATTCAAGTTGCTTGCAATAGTTTTATTCTGAATAAAGCTAGTTTTTGTACCATGTAACATCTGTAACATTGTTAATGTAAAGAAGATTATTTTGTCCTCAGTACTAGAGCTGTCTCTGCCATCCTATTCTTATTTTGCAGCCGTACGGCCCGGGGAAGTACGTGTTCGACATCGGGTGTGAGCAGCATGGTGAATATCACCAAGCAGAGCAGGTAATCCAACATCAGCACAATCCAGCTGTTTCATCTGATTTAAAGCTGCAGTAGGTAACTTTTATAAAAATAACTTTTTGTATAAGCTATGGAAAAAACTTCATCTGGCTTGTCCTAGTGCTCCTAATGGCATTTGCAGAAAATCCACAGTCTGTGAACAAAAACAACCAATCAGAGCCAAGAAAGATAGCTGATAGTCTCTCAATCTCCACTAACCCAAAGCATCAGTATTTGATGACCTGATGGGAACTTAACAATCAGCTGTCCTTCTCAGCTCTGATTGGTTGTTTTCATTCAGATCAATAAGTGCAAATGCCATTAGGAGAACTAGGAGGAGCCAGAGGAATCAGATTTATTTTTTTTATTTTTTTATTTTTACAGATTATCTGTCTCATGTTCTACTGTCAGGATATAGTGAAAGTCCAAGTCAATGACAAAAAGTAATTTTTATAAAAGTTACCTACTGCAGCTTTAAATATATATGTACTTTAAATTCCTCATAATAATCCCAGAAAACTGGAACGTTGTGAGGGCACACTGAATGAATACCAGAACATAACCATAATAACTCTCTCAACTAAAAACTCCAGCCAGCGACCGGTGAGGAGAACGATAAAAATATGAAAGCACAGAGGTCACCCTACCCGGGCTCCAGGGAGGGGTATCTCTCCTTAGGAGGAGCAGAGGAGGTGCTGCTACTGCCTTTATACACAACTGCTGATGAGCAGTGTGTTGCATGATGATCTTGTGTTTTTTTCATGCACAACAATGCATTACTGTTGTTGAATTTACTCCTAGAAGTGTTATTATTCTTTTCCAGTGTGCACACTTCCCTCTTCTATGTGCATGTTTGACTTTCTATGCATGATGTGAACATTAGTGACAATATAAAAACTTCAGGGTGCATGTGTGTGACATCTTCAGTGAGCCTGGAGTTCGTAGAATAAATACGGAACACAGTGAAAATATCTGTGTATTTTGCTTGCAGTAAAGGCCAAAATGTGTCACAGTAAAACACATAAAAATCTGAAGCTGTGTCTCACTCCGTTCTCTGCAGGACCGAGCTGAGGGCGAGTGGGGCGAGTTGGCTTCCACCACTGTCCTCAAGTGGATTCCCAAGTGTGTCACCGGCTTGACACAGTGGACTCCAGGCCAAGAGACTTCAGGTGAACCCCAAAATGACAGTCAGAGGCAGGGTCGTAGCCAGGATTTTAGATCTATATAATACTGAGGTCATGTGTCCTAATTCCCCCAGTAGGAATAAAAAAAATATATTTTTATTAGCCACCCAACAAAACTGTGAAATATTTAGTTGTTTTTTTTAAATCTCAGAAATATCACATTTAGCTGTGTATTCAGCTGTTAAATTATATTTTCTGTAAGCTGTATATGCCCACATATGCTCTAAATGTTGTTTCAAATCCCTCTCCACCCTGTCAGGCTTTAGGTAAGAATTTTTTGCTATAAAAATATTAAGATATTTAGTCTAAAAGCATGTCCGAATCAGCCTTAAAAATGTTGTATTCATAGAAGACTTTTCATGGTTAAAATTCCCAGAAATATTAGTCTCTATTGTCTCTGTTTCTCTATAGGATTTCTACTGTCAATAAAGAGCTGGAGGGGGATTTCTTTTTATCTACACAATTTGGGAAATGATAAATTATTGATAATTTTTTTAGATTTATTTTTAAAATATCAAAATTTGACTTACAAATCATCAAAACTATTTGAGGACAAACACTGACAAACCTGGGTTTGTTCCACTCTACTGAGCAGGGGCTGCAGTAAATATAGCAATCTGCTGAATTCAGTGTTTGTTTCTGAGGCTGAATGTTTGCCTCAGAAACAACAAACTTCATGTCTTTGTGTCTGCAGTTTGTGTGTCTGTCATGTACCTCAAATGCCTCAAACACAGAGGTACAGAGACACAAGAGTCCTGAAAGGGAGACCAGGGACAATATAAGGGGGTTTCCAAATCTGTACTCAAGTTAGTGTGTGTGTGTGTGTGTGTGTGTGTGTGTGTGTGTGTGTGTGTGTGTGTGTTTTCTTTTGTCAGCCGGGGAAAAGGAAGCAGCTTCAGCAGAGGAGGCAGAGAACGTACCTGTGTGATCAGTCCACAATCCTGCATCTTTCAACCTTTGTCTAAAAAGCAACATAACATAAATATTTTAATAAATATGTCAATAAATAGTCTATGCTTGTATTTTCTATGTCTTATGAAAATGTCTGGTTATAGTGTGTGTACTTTCATGCAGTGCCCCTCTGTGGCACTTTACAGAGCAACATTATTTTTCCTGAGTGAGGAAGTGAGACTTTATCTTAATCATGTAAAGCCACAGAACTATTATAAATGTAAAGTCAGTAGCTGCAGGCCCAGTCTAAGCCTTTTCAGGGCCTTAACAGATTTTGTTTGGGGCTCCCTGGAGACCACCAGGCTCCGAGCAGCTCCTTGGTTTACTTAATATGTCTCAGACTGGCAAGGACTCACTTCTTTTTCCCGTCCGGCATTCTGGAAGTGAATTTCATGAATCAAATTAGGTGTGTCTTCCCATGATGTGAAGTTTGCAAAAGTTATACATTTTGATGTTCATAAATATCAACATTTATGTATGAATATATTTTTAGCAGTTAGGCTACCACAAGTCATTTATCCTCCTTATTTCTGCTTAATATTTGCTAAAATGCTTATTTATTTATTTATTTATCTTTCTTTCCTAAGTCACCATTTGTTTGCATTCATTTATTAAGTCATATATTGTTGTGGCTCAAAGGGTTAGGATTAGGGTTGCAAACATTGCACACTTCTATATCATTCCAAGACCCGACTCTACTCTGCCTCTGATTTTCTAACATGTACAATGTGTACAAGTGGCCGTGGTTTGTAGCGTCTGTGAGGCTGCAGCTGGACCCCTCTCGCCATATCCACCAGTCTTTACTGACTGGTTGTCTAACAGCATTATTTTGAAGGATGCCGCCGGAAGTGGTTGCTTTTATTGTGCCTAGCAGCGTTGGATACTGTGCTGTCATCGTGTAGGACGATAGAGGATATTCAACATTGAACAGCCTGGCTGGATTTCACCATGTGGGGGGGTTAGGAGGATACCGGTACTTCGGCAGTGTTTCCTGTACACTCACCTCCCTCTACAGACAAACACAGACATCAGTTACCCCGAAGACAAAGCCGAGAATGGGCGACTGTCCTCAACAAACGCCGCTGTTTACATTCGGTGTGATAGCTGACATTCAGTACGCAGACCTCGACGACGGATACAATTACAGCCGGACCAGGAGGCGGTACTACCGGAGCAGCCTCCAGCTGCTCAGAAATGCCCAGGAAAGTTGGTCGGAGTCGCCCGTCAAACCCGAGTTTATCCTCCAGCTGGGAGACATCATCGACGGCTTCAACAAGGGCCACGACGCCTCGGACCGAGCCTTGGCCACCGTGCTGAGAGAGTTCAGCTCCAGCCCCGTGGAGGTCCACCATGTGTGGGGTAACCATGAGTTTTATAACTTCAGCAGGAGCGCGCTGCTGCGGTCCCAGCTCAACAGCACACCGCACACCGACGGCGGCCCGACCGGAGCCCGGGCAGGAGGGGATATCTACGCCTACCGCTTCAGCCCGTTCCCCGGGTTCACGTTCGTCGTGCTGGACGCTTATGATGTGAGCCTGCTGGGCCGAGAGGAGTCCAGTGAACAGTACCGCGATGCTATGAGTCTGATAAAGCAGTACAACAACAACGAGGACCTCAACTGCCCCCCAGGTATGTACAGACAGTGGTATGCAAAAGTTTGGGCACCCCTCTGAGATTTCATGATCATATGCTCTACCTTTATAAGAGAAGATCACAGCAACAAGACTTGTTTTCCTACAGAGATGTAGATATTTGAGTGTTTTCCAGACCGACATTCTTAGAGTAGCATTCGATAGTTTTATTATAATAAAAAAAATGTAAAAAATGGGATGTACAGAAGTTTGGGCACCATTTTAATCGCATTCATTTCAAGACCTGTAGGGATTTATAACTGACAGGTTGCAGCACAAAATTGCTTTGATTAGCTCGTGAGACCTTCAATTACAAAGACAGGTGGAACCAATCATGAAAAAGGCTGTTTCACATAGGTAACTGCTGGCTGTGCTTGTCCTAGGTTCTTTCTTAGAGTGTGGCAACATGGGGGGCCTCTAAACAACTCTCCACGGACCTAAAAACTAAGATAATTCATTATTATGAATTAGGAGAAGGGTACAATAAATGATCTGGAAGGTTTGGACTGTCTGTCTCCACAGTCAGAAATGTAGTGCAGAAATGGAGGGCCACAAGAACAGTCCTTGTGAAGGAAAGATGTGGTTGGCCGAAAAAAATACAGGAAAGGCACAGGCTAAGGATGGTTAGAATGGTCACAGACAAGCCACAGACCACCTCCAGAGAACTACAAGAACATCTGGCTGCTGATGGTGTAGTTGTTCATCGTTCCACATCGTTTGCACCTGGAAAAGCTCATTGGAAGGGTGATGTGCAAAAAGCCTTTCCTTTCGTCACAAGAAGAGTCGTATGAGGTATGCACAACACATCTGGACAAGCCAGAAGCATTTTTCAGCAGGACAGTGATCCTAAGCACTGTTCAAAATCCACCAAGGAATTCATGCAGAAGCACAAGTACAATGTTCTGGAATGGCCATCCCAGTCCCCAGACCTTAACATCATTGAAAATGTATGGATTGATTTGAAGCAGACTGTCTACGCATGGAAGCCAAGAAACCTGACTGAACTGGAGGCGTTTTGTATGGAGGAATGGGCCAAAATACCACCTGCCAGACTTCAGGGACTTGTCTGTGGCTATAGGAGGCGTCTACTAAACATTAATGGAATTATTTCTTTGGGGTGCCCAAATTTATGCACATGCCTATTTTAGTTTAAATGCACACAAATGTGTCTGTTGGACCAATAACAATGATTTCACTTCTGAGATGTTTCTGTTTCCATAAGGTATAACATATGTCAAAATGAAGTTGCTGCTTCAAAAGCTCAGCAAGTTACAAACTGATGCAGGGATTTTCCTAAGGGGTGCCCAAGCTTTTGAATATCACTGTATGTATGTGATGTTAACATGTTATGCTATTTTATTTACTATTTAAATATTTTAATGGATGAATAAGCAATTTATGTATTGGCTTTGATGCCAAAGTTTCCTTCTGTAGTTAAAGTGTTATTATAAAATGAAGAGATATATACCAGTCTTGCTTTTACAAGTGAAAAGCAGAATTCATAAATTACTGCTGGACGGTATGGTCAAAAATCTGTGTCATGGTATTTTATAAGATTCTGCCGGTTTCACGGTATATCGGTATTTCACTAATATAGGGCATTCATTACCAAAGACTGGGTCGGGACTCACACTTGGGTCGTGGGATATTTTATGTTTTCTCATTAATAAAGTATTTCAAGTGTGTAGATTGTTTTACTTATGATGGAAAAAAAAGATTGTGAGTGTTGACATTATGTGTTCTTGTTTCAGTCTGCGAGGGTCGGCAGAGGTTTACCATGTTCAACGGGGGGTTCAGTAAGGACCAGCTGGACTGGCTGGATTCTGTTCTGTCCTCAGCTGATGAGAAACGGGAGAGAGTCACACTTGTCAGTAAGTAAAGAAATCTCTCTCGTTTACAAAGATTGTTTAATCCTATCCCGGTCAGGGAAGGTGTGATGTGATGTTTTGCTATTTACTGGTTCAGGCATTGGTTGAATTACATGACGTTTGTATGGCACAACCGGTCAGCCACTGCAGATCCAGTTCAACACTCTCCCATACGAGCAGGTTGTCATGACCACCGTGTTTGACAGCATCATCCAGCAGTTTTTTTACCCAGTTTCCCCCTGTGTGATTCACAGCGTACTCATACAGGCTTTTTTTAGCTCCTACCTATTGTGTAGTGCCGGGTATTCAGCTAGCCCCCTTTTCAACAGTGGGCATTGAGCACACTTACCTCTCCAGCGTCACTAATGCACCTGCTCCAACACCAGATCAAAAAACCAGCAAACCAACAGTGGCAGTAAAAACCATCCTCTCTCCTCTCCGAGGAACCAGCAGTGTGTTCCCCGTTGGTTCACTACCTTTTGTGTGTGTTGGAAGAACACGTCTCTTTTTCTTATTTTGTGGTCTTGATTTTTCATTTTAATTGTAAATGTGACTATTTGTTTGATTCTCAACATTAGCAATCATTTGTACCATAGCAACCATTTTTATCATTTCATAATAATCTGATTAATTGGCGTACTGACATACAGAGCAAATCATAGAATAAACCATACACACATTATGAGTCAGAACAACCACAGATCTGGCAAAAAGCAGAGGACTCCACAGTGTGACTTATACCGCAACTAGAGCACTCGTGGGTGTGCAGGCATACTTCCTCAGTTACCACTACACTTTCATGGCAGTTTGGACCAGTAAGAATAGAACCTTCATTTTCATTTTGAATTATTAAAGGACCACTCCACTGTTTTCTTTTACACGCCAAATGCAATTTAGTAGGTAGCTGGTAAGTCAGACTAACTAAGGAGCTGTTATTGAGGGAGCCAGCATGCACAGTAGTCCTTTTGACATGTCAGGAGAAAAAGTAAATAATAAATAATAAAATGAATGATGGCTGAATTCCACAGAGCTGCTTCAGTTTCAGGTTATTGGTCCTGTGTGCATCACCTGCTGTTCAAGTGCTGCTATACCAGATACCAGAAATCTCCAGGTTATATGTAAGAAATTCGGTGCTACTACATGTTGCACTAGAGCACAGCATCTCAGATCAAAACAAATAGGTGCTATGGCCCACCCGACTCCATTGACAAAATCAGTCATTTCTTCCTCGCAGATATTCATAATACACACTTCAGACTGGACAGAATGACACTGACCAAAGCCATCTTTGTCAGTCTTTGCAACAATCACCAAACACTGGTTTGGATGAAATGATCTCCGTTCACAGAGTTCGATGAGAAAATATTCACAAAACGTGAGCATAGCTCATTCTTGGGAATAATACCCCGTCAAAGTACGTCCACTGAAAGTTCTTTTTTTGCCACTGACAGGCTCAGCTTGTTATTCTGACATTATTAAATATCGCTATCACTCTTATTTTGTCAGGCACTGGTCGCGATAAGTCCTTAATCCACTGACAAAGAAGCCAGACCGGCTTTGTAAACAAACAACAGAGAGGACGCGATAGCAACACAGACAAATGGAGAGTGAGGACACCATGACTCCACTACAGTTAGGCCCAGAAATATTTGGACAGTGACACCATTTTCATGATTTGGGCTCTGCATGCCACCACATTGGATTTGAAATTAAACAACTGAGATGCAATTGAAGTGCAGACTTTCAGGTTTAATTCAAGGAGTTGAACAAAAATATCCTATCAAACGTTTAGAAATTGCAACCATTTTTAAACAAAGTCTCCTCATTTCAAGGGCTCAAAAATAATTGGACAAATTAACATTACCATAAATAAAATTTTCATTTTTAATACTTTTGTTGAGAATCCTTTGCAGGCAATGACTGCCTGAAGTCTGGAACCATGGATATCACCAAACGCTGGGTTTCCTCCTTTGTGATGCTGTGCCAGGCCTTTATTGCAGCTGTCTTCAGTTGTTGCTTGTTTGTGGCTCTTTCTGCTTTAACTTTTGTCTTAAGCAAATGAAATGAATGCTCGATCGGGTTGAGATCTGGTGATTGACTCGGCCATTGCAGAATATTCCACTCCTTTGCCTTAAAAAAACTCCTGGCTTGCTTTTGCAGTATGTTTTGGGTCATTGTCCATCTGTACTGTGAAGCGCTGTCCAATCAACTTTGCTGCATTTGGCTGAATCTGAGCAGAAAGAATATCTCTATACACTTCAGAATTCATCCGGCTGCTACTGTCTCCTCCTCCACATCATCAATAAATACCCAGTGCCGTTGGAAGCCATGCATGCCCATGCCATCACACTGCCTCCACCATGTTTTACAGAAGATGTGGTGTGCTTTGGATCATGAGCCGTTCCAAGCCTTCTCCATACTTTCTTCTTCTTCCCATCATTCTGGTACAGGTTGATCTTCGTTTCATATGTCCAAAGAATGCTATTTGAGAACTGGGCTGGCTCCTTTAGATGTTTAGTCTAATCTGGCCTTTCTATTTTTGAGGCTGATTAATGGTTTGCACCTTGTGGTGAACCCTCTGTATTTGCTCTCATGAAGTCTTCTCTTTATGGTAGACTTAGATACTGATACACCTACTTCCTGGAGAGTGTTCTTCACTTGGGTGGATGTTGTGAAGGGGTTTTTCTTCACCACAGAAAGGATCCTGCCATCATCCACCACTGTTGTTTTCCGTGGACGTCCAGGCCTTTTTGAGTTCCTGAGCTCACCAGTGTGCTCTTTTTTTTTCTCAGGATGTACCAAACTGTTGATCTGGCCATTCCTAACATTTCCGCTATCTCTCTGATGGACTTCATCTGTTTTTTGCAGCCTAAGGATGGTCTGTTTCACTTCCATTGAGCCATTCCATTCCTTTGACCGCATGTTGTGGGTTCACAGCAACAGCTTCCAAATGCAAATGCCACACCTGGAATCAACTCCAAACCTTTTACCTGCTTAATTGATGATGGGTTAATGAGGGACTAGCCCATGCAGCCCATGAAATAGCTTTTGAGTTAATTGTCCAATTACCTTTGGTCCCTTGAAAAAGAGATGGCTACATATTAAAGAGCTGTAATTCCTAAACCCTTCCTCCAATCTGGATGTGAATACCCTCAAATTAGAGCTGAGAGTCTGCACTTTAAGCCCATATTGATTATATAACTTGAATATGTTTTGGTAAACAGCTAAAATAACAGAACTTGTGTCAGTGTCCAAATATATATGGACCTAACTGTATATATCTTTACATAGCTAATCATTGTTGGCTGCTATATTTGTTTTCTAAATAATTTTTTCCCCCTGCCTAGGTCACCTCCCCGTACACCCCTTCTCCACCGACCCCATCTGCCTCGCCTGGAACTTCGATGAGCTCCTGGCCATCATACGCTCCCACAGCAGTGTGGTGTGTTTCATGGCTGGACACGACCACGACGGCGGATACTACCAGGACAGAGACACAGGAGTGCACCACCTGACATTAGAGGGGGTGATCGAGACCCCACCTGACGGCAACGCCTTCGGCACGGTCTCTGTGTACGAGGACCGGATGGTGCTGAAAGGGAACGGGAGAATCACAGATCGAGTGTTCCTGTTTTCAGGGTGCCAAAGTGACGCAGATCATACGGCAAAATGACACATGCTGTAATGTTTGTAGATTGCTGAGGCAGTCGAGGCAATATTTTTTATTTATACCATGGGATTTAGAAAGGTATTTTCCAGATTGGGAAATGTACAGGATGTTTACATTCTATGAAGAAGTCAGGGAATTTTACACAGGTCACTGTAACTATACATGCATCAATCTCCTATACCGTATCATAGGTGACGTACTGCTCTCATTGGCTGCGCAGTTTCAACTCATCCATAGCAGGAAACTATAGCGACAAGCCTGGTCACACATTCTCACATTACAGATAAACAGTGCATTGAAATATGTTTCTGAAACAATTTTAGGTGGGAAATAAGTAACGCAGTAACAGAATCTTGAATCATATTTGATCAGCACTGCCAAGTTCCACAGTTTGATCTGATTCTTTTTTTGCAGCCAATGGAGCTGCCCCCTGCTGGCCATTACATAAAATGCATGTTTAGGTCTATGTTGGCTTCTTTCCGCGGACCTGGGAGCTCTGTCCACTATATATACTGTCAGTGTAACAAACCTACATACGCTCTGGTCCAGTTACCTCAGCAGAAAACATACAGTACCTCAAATATTGAATTGCACTTAATGACTTTTTATTTTAATGACAAGTGTGAAATATATCTTATGCACTGGTGTGTTTTAATCTGGAGGGCAAAGAATATAATTTGTATATTTGTATGCACATATTTTAAGAAGAGAGATTTTATTATTGCAGTTGGTGCCTTTTGCACGTTGCACATTGCACAGGACTGATTTTCTTATGCTGGTATTTGCTGAACAATGTATTATGCAATTTAGTGACATATTGATCAGTGCAGTGTAATTATAACCTGTGATAAGATCTGTGCAAATCTGTATGATTTACATTGTAAAACCATACGTCAAATAATAAACATCTTTATAACAGCAGTAGTTGCACTTTGTGTCCGGCTGAATGTCACATTCACATCTTATGTTGCATTCAGGTAATGTGGGAAAGTGGTAGCTACAAATGAAATAAAGCAAAGTTCACTTGGAGTTTTTCCAGAGAGGAATATCACTTGAGGTTTGATTATTAACCTTGACACAGTAGTAGTACATTAATGTGTGAGTTTTTACTTGCAGATGAAAAAGTGGTGATACAATCAACTGAAAAGTGTTAAACACACTTAGACACATAAACATTAAAATAATGCCAAAAACTACAACTTAGACAAAAATGATATTGACGTGACAGACAGGAAGAGATGTTATGGAGGGGGCTAAAAATACGTATGAGACAAAAAGTTAACTCAAAGTCAGCTTGCTAGCTTTTTCTGGAGCTTCTGCATCTCAGCCTTCATCAGCAGGTGGAGTTATCTGAGTATGGACATGTGACAACAGGTATTGTAAATAGCATTCCCTTATATATCTCCATAATCGCCATGGCAACTGAGCAAACTCCATCCACTGACCATGCGATGAGACTGAAACCTCTACTTTAGTGAGCAAGTGGACCTTGAGTTTGGTTATTTTGTCAAATTACAATTTCAAAGGTCAAAAGTGAACTCACATTAAATACATGCAAATAGTGATACAGTATACAATACGATTAAATGCAAATCAAAGTGCTTTACAAGAGACTGACAAAACAGATTGTTAAAAAAGGATTTAGACTGACACACACCAAAAAATGTAATTAAATAAGACAATACAATATTTTATAATATTGCTAATAATAAATATATTGCTAATAATAAAACAGTAAAACAATGGCTAAGAGTAAATGGTGATAAAAAAAATAGACAAAATTAAAAAAAGAAATAATGGTCAACAGTAAAATGTTAAAACAAATGAATAGATGTTTTTTAGTTTAGGTTTAAAAATATCAATATTTTCAGCACCTCTCAGATGTGTCAACATGATGATATATAGAGGGAGGTATATTATGTAGTGTGTCGGTTTGCACAAGAGACAGAAACATGTCAAACATAGCGCTGTGAAGTGGTGATTTACTGCATTTCCGACAGGCCGCGAAGGCGGCAGCGGCACAGACGTGGCCGTGGTGCAGCTGCTGCGTTCAAGTGGCGCAGTGTCCCGTCTGGAGGCAGAGCGGGCGAAGTTTCACTCTCTGCATTGCAGCCTGAGCGCTGCCGGAATCCAACACAACAATGGCGACTCCCAGTCCTGACAGCAACTCCACAAGCTCCAGCAACATTGTAGGATCCACGTCGCACCATTTCCACCAGCAGACACAGAGCAGCAGCATGCAAGGTAGGCGACAATGGCCTTTATTTCATAGTTCTCTATTCCAAGTGAAGACACTGGAGTTAGTAGGAAAAAGTAGCTTGTAGCTTCCCAGAACCAGAAAAGCCATTGTCAAGAGGGACAGAATAATTAAAACCTCCCGGTTATAACTTTCAAAATAAAATCTGCGTTGTTGTCATAGGACGTATTATTTGTAAGATACTGTTGCTTGTGTTTAGTAATGGAATCAAGTTAACTTAAATATGAATAATTATCTGCTCATGTTAATATGAAAAGCAGACTTTGGACTGATTATGTGTTGGTAGAAGATGAGCTAGATATCTAAATATCTTTATTGGTTTTACAAAATTAAGCCGACTATTTGTACAGTTAACTACCTAGAGTGGTGGATGAGCACTACCAATCCAATATGGAAGATAAGTCATCATTTATCTTCAGTTATTCAGTGGCGTGTTGTTACCCATACTGGGTAGTACAATATAGTGTTACACATTTAAGCCTCGACAGAATAGATAAAGTAAATAATAATACTAAAATACTCACAACCTACAATTATTGTTTAGTATTAAACAATATCATGTCGAATTTCTCACAATAGTGTGATCCCTTTAGTGTTACTAGCGGGTTGTCAAACTGTCCGCTTTTATTTTGAAGGCTGCATTGCGCAGTTTCCGCTGACGCTCTGGCTTTATTTGCCTAGCTTGAAGTGGCTCCCTGAAACAACACGGCTACAAGGTTAGCAGTGAGGAAGTGTCCCCTGTCTATCTGCTCAACAGACAGACAGACAGACCTTTAGTGGCACAGTGAACAGCTTTCACCCTGAGTCAGACATTAGCAACAAAACCCGAATCCCATGTGTGTGACAGTGGAAAGACGCGTTCAATGAATGTCTATTCACCGATATTATTAGCCAGCAGGCTGCTACAAGTACCACCAAGGCCTACACTGCCAGGCCACTGTTTGAATGCACCGCTGTCTATTGCAAATAAATAATACATTATAAATGATAGTATAATGTATTTAAAGTTAGATATGGTAATAATATTCACCGAGTCAACATTCATTTGAAAACGTTGATGAATTTGCTCCAGTCGTCTGACAACGTTTAGTCCTCGTTAGGTGTGTTCGTTGTGTCGAGATTACAGCCCGTTAAATAATGTAATAGCAGTCTTTGAATACTACTGTACTGAAACAATATGTCTGCCGTTTGTTATCGTCACATAGGTCTGTACATTTCTAGGTCGATAGGGTTTTACTGAGTCCCAGCTCTGAATCCATTATCGGACGGAAAGCTAAGCCTGTTAGCTACCAAAACCTAAAGCTAGCTCAAACAAGTTTTGCCTATGTGCCTATTTCTGCCAGCTGTTTTCGATAAGATGCTATGAGCTAACTTACAGCAGTATCCTCTGATAGAAGTCAGAATAGAAACTGGCAGCAGTGTCAGCTGGCGGGTGAGTCTGTGTTAGTGGCGTTAGCTAATTTGGGATTATATTATTCAGTTTATGCCGTTACTCATAAACGTTTGTGTGCAGTCACACTAATGCTAAACCAGTTTACGTACAGTAGGCTGTGTGCCGTCTAAAAGGCAGTACGCCAGACAAGGTCGTGTCCGATAATGGATGTGTTGATGGTAGTTGCTGGGTAGGCATTTCCATTGATTGATTGACTTTCAGAGCCTAATGAACATCAGTACAGCCATGTATCCAGTGGCAACAGTTGTATTTTCTTCCTCTGTGGCAGATGTCTAGTATCAAATGTTTTATTTAAACCTTACAGAAACCAACACCTGCTGGAGATGTCAAAATGAAACAGGTATTCACACTGTCTCTTACTGCTGTTGGGGGTCACATTGTGTTTGTTTAGGCCATATCTTGGCAAAGGAATTCCTTGAAATGTTCCCTTTCCTCCTCCTTCTGTTGATCATTGTTTTGTGTTCGTTTCCTAATTTCATTTATATATATATCTCTATTTTTTTTTTTAGCAAAACCTGCATTTTAATCCACGTATCTGCATGTTTTAATGAACCTTAGATTATATTGATCTCGTGTAGACACAGTAGACAGACCCCATTTGATGAGACACTGCAGGGTCACAGTGCTGTGAGAGTTTCAGCAGCACAGATATCAAAATGTGCATCTCAATTGTTTAGCGGTATGCCACTGTTAGCTTCTGGTATGCTGCTGCTTATGGTATATATTTAAACAGAATGACGGTCATGTTCCACTGGCAGATACAACTTCCTGTTCGCATATACCAATTCTCGCTGGCATTATGCAACTGCTGATAACAGTATGTTCCCACTGTGTGCCACCTATAAGCAGCGTGTCACTTGTGTTCCACAGATAGATGACACTGCCGACACACACCAGTAGTTTCCCACTCTTGCTTCGGTGCCATATGCCTGTTCTTAGTGGTATTCCACTTTTATTTTTTGACTATTCAACTGTCATAAGGTACATATAAAAATAGTATGTTTATGCTAGATGTCAGAATATGACTGATATTTAAGGAAGAGTGGGGTACAGTATGTCAGAAGCAGTTTCATTTAACTGCATTATTCTATGCATTGTAACATAATATATATTTAATACAAGGCGAGATGTTCTGATACCGTTTTCCTTCCCGATACCCAGTGGTTTAGTGCAGGTATACACAGTATAGCATTGCGTATAACCACTTCTAAATCCCCTCTGATGTGCATCATTCAGTAGTGTTCTGCAGGATGGCAAAGGCACAACACAGTTGTCCAGGTGGATGGAGTAAGGAATGAGGTCTGATGCATGTGGTTGCCTCATGGGTCTGTGAGCCAGTATTGATGCAAAATCTGCACCTCTTCTGTAGCTAATGTTCATTTCAGAATCATCCTTACTGTCTGAAATCAAGCAGCAGATGTTACGTGAAAATGTGCAAATATTAGGTGAGCTAAATATGGAGCACTAGTCTTACAAGTCACTTTATAACACAGGACACACACAGGTTTGTCCTTAATTAAGAGCATACCCTGTTCTCTAGGCACCAGTACACCACTGCTGATCCCGATCCCTGATCTTTGCGTAATGGCGGAGTACTTGTGATACATGTGCATTTAAAAAATATGTATATGTATTTATTTATTTTTTTTACAATCATTTGCTATCATTATTGTATGGCCCGTAATCAGAGTGAGAGTAAGGCAGGTCTTGATGCTATCTGAGAAAAAAAAGGCTGTTTGGCAGAAGCAAGTCTTGGAGGAGTTTCTGATAGTGGACACAACTCTGCTCCAACCTTTTCACCACCTTCCCAAAACTCACAGGGGGAAACACTAATATTGTTTCACAGCAGCCACGCTGAAAAGGCCAGCCAGATCAAGGTATCAGTGTGCAAGGAACAAGCTCGGATAGCCTTCATAGCATGCTGGCAGCAGCATCATCTTCCAATGTCATTTTATGGCCTAGGCCAGCCGTACTCTGTATCTTACTGTGAAAAGTGGCACCTGTTTACTGGAACATGAGTGGCATCTCATTATCATGTGGCACACAGCAGCAGCGGCATATGTAAGTAAAAATGATCAAATGCTGGTGGGGAATGGGATCTACCAGTGGAACATGACTGCCATACTGAGAGTGCTTTATGACAGCAGCATCTGAACGTTCAACAGTGATATATCACTCATAATCACTCATGTTGTTCTTTAATGTGAAATAGTGATACACTGCAGGAGGTTAAAGAAGAGATGAACCAAATCAAATAGTCATTTTAATACATTCTGCTGCTGGGCTAGTATTGACTAAACCTGTTAACTTCCACTGACAACACACTGGATCCACATCAACTTACATGTACAGTTGCATGGCAGTGCACTGAACCAGACCCACCAAAATATGGTGCTTCCTGTTTACCCTCTAAAGCACATTCAAAGTAACCTGCCCTCTCTTCCACTTTCAGCATTGGCTCTTGCTGGGATGGCACTTTTGAACCATGACTCAGTCACTCTTAAACAAGCCCTAAGAAAATGTAGTAAAATGTTTTCTCCTTTACTCCAGGGTTTCAGATAAGCCTGTCTGGATTGTCCCAAAGTAAGCAATAGACTCGCACACAAAGCACACCGACCTCTACTCTTTGTGGGTACACCTCAGTAGTCTAAAGTGGTTTCCTCTCCTCGTTGAGCCACGTTTCTGTTCAATCATTGGCTGACGGCTGGGCGTACTGCTGCCTTGTGATTGGGCAGCGTTGTCATTGAGCTCCAGATTCTTGACGTGTTTATCATGCATATATTAAGCTGGAGAAAATAGGTGAAAGGAAGCCACTTTATACTATTGAAACAGCCTGTGTGGTGCTCTGGTAGTTGGGGAGTCTGTCCACTGTTCACTGCTATTAACTGTCACAATTTCAGTTATGGCCAAGAGAGATTCTTTTGCACCGGGGCTTAAAGGTTAAGGGATCTGTTTTGCACTCAAGAGCTGGTTGAACAGGGCATGGCAAAGACGACTCAACACTTAAACTCAGTACTTTGCATAGAAGCTAGCTTAATTGGCAGTTATATTCTGGAGATACGTCCTTACAGGCGACAAACAATGTCGACTCCATTCAGTCTTAAATTGGAATTGTGCTATTTAAGTGTTGGGTCACTTTGATATCTCAAGGACACTGTTCAGGTTTGAATTGCAACTTTTTTTTTTTTTTAAAGTTCTCAATGGAAATGTTGTACAGGGATTCCCAATATCAGTATCCTGCAGTGAGGCTTCTTTTGGCTCTTCTGCAGAAACAACAGTTCCAGTAACTTGAACACATACATTATTTGGAAGAGAAGGTGAACAGCTGAAAGAACTGCTGCAGTATCGGAGTATTGGGAACCCCTGTACATGTGGGTACCTTGCTTGTGTTCAAAATGCATTTTGTGCTTCCTCTGATCTTGAAAGCACTTGAGGTAACCCGAAGGTCAGTCTGTGGATGAAAACAGCTCTTCATAGACTGGATCTTTAAATCATGTTGATGTTACAAGATCTTCTTCTAACCATCCTCTGCCGACCTATTTCAGTTGGCCAGATTTCATTGTATGATACTCGATCATATTGTGGCAGGAAGATCCCCTCCAGACATGTATTAAGACGTATGATTTTTCTGTTCAAAAAAAGCATAATTTTGACATTAATATCCTTAAAAAGACATCTGCTCCTTGTGATGTCACAAATCATGCTGGTAGGCCCCACCCCTTAAAATCAGATGTTCATTGAGCACAGAGAAACTTTCCACTTTCAGCAGATGAATGTGAAAACATCCTTCTAGTGTCAAACTCATGTACAGCATTCAAACAGCACACTGTAGGGACAAGGAGAGAAACACATTTTTTTAATATTGCTCATTGGACACATGTAAAGGCTTATCTCAAGTGCGTAGAGAGACAGAAGTTGCTGAGGTAAGACGAGCTGTCACACTGTGCTCGTCCTCTGTTTGCACCAGCTGGTTGAGCCCACAGTGTGGTGTGCATGTTCTGGGAATCTGGATCTGTTTCTCTCTTTGTTCTGCCAGGTAAACGTAAAGCTCTGAAGCTGAATTTCGCCAACCCTCCAGTGAAACCAGCCTCCAGGCTCCCGCTCAATCCAACGCCTCCCTCTTTCCAGAACCCGCACATGTGAGTAGAGCCAGCTGATGGTGGGATCTCATGGGAACTCTGGGCAATACATCCTCTAGTTTATAATTCTTTATTATTTTAGAGTTGTACAATTACATTACTTAAAGGTACCATTTGCAGGTTTTTCAGTTATGACTACATTTATTTTTTCTCACCAAAACACATTGTATCCTTGAGGCCTAATAAACATCTTACTTTTCCTTCCTCATAAAACATTTACATGTTGTTACATTTCTTGTCATTTTTGATGACATGCTCCAACTGAGTTTGGGCTGTTCTGACGAGTTAGCGCTGTTCTATCCCGCCAGCGCTGGGTAGGGTTACAGTATTTCCACTGGTAATTGTTTTCCATGTGCAAGCAAAATGAAATCACAAAAGAAAACAAAACATTCATCCACTTCATCAATACATAATGGTTACTCTACCCGGGTCTGTGATTAATGTGCTTGCATTACCTTTCCAGGTCCACGGCCCGAACTGTAGATGGGAGACCTCAGGTTTTAGGCTTTTTCATTTACTTAATATTCTATTTTTTTAAATGAATTAATTAAATTATTAATTTAAAAACAGGATGGGTCACATTCATGAGGAAATACAAAATAATCCATCTAATGTAGCATCCAGCCAACTAGCGACTAGCACATTTAGCATGTATTGAGGATTAAGTTTGTATATATTGTCATTCGTTATCATTGGCAGCAATATCATTGGCCACTGCAAGTATACTGTATGGTCTGATGGAGGGTTAAAATATTTCCCTTTAATTTTCATCCAACTACTTATAATACATATTTTTTTACCTAATTTTGGCGGTTAGAGGCAGGAAGTCATCCACAAAGCTTCCACCATTGGCCACTTTGCTTGAGTTGAATCACATATGAATATTGGATAACAAAGCCCCTTCATGGAACCTTTAAATGTTTCAGATTCACAGAAGCTTGGGCATGCTGATGAAATATTGATCATATCCACATTAATCTATAATGCACGTTCCTCTCATGGCTCCACACTGTCCCCTCTCTCTCTCTCTCTGCCCCCTCCTTCCCCTTCTCGTGGCCTCTTTCTCCTACTCTAATATGTCTTATACGCTGCCTCGTCCAACCCCGTCTCCCCCCCTGTGTCTCCTCCTCCAGAGAGCGTCTGCGGACACACAGCATCGAGTCGTCGGGGAAGCTGAAGATCTCTCCAGAGCAGCATTGTGACTTCACTGCAGAGGATCTGAGAGACCTCGGGGAGATCGGTCGCGGGGCGTATGGCTCCGTCAACAAGATGGTCCACAAACCCACGGGCCAGATCATGGCTGTCAAGGTGACCTGCTGATACTGATAGAAACGCCTCACCCCAGTTTACCTCATCCAGAGCAACAATTAGTCAGTGCAACATACAGAGGGTGTTACCCACCTTCCTACCTGACCCGTAAGCCATGTTAACTATTTGCCACTGCCACACAGTCACACCGCTACAATCCTCCCTCCTCTGAAACTGTTCACTGCATCTGTCAGTGGAGCTATAAGTAGACCGATATAGAGCAGAATGAGGTATAAACAAACAATATTTATAGAATAAGATAAATTAATATTAATGCGTTGTTAATGGATAATTAAAACCATGCTGTTATTTGTTGACCTCAAACTTAAAGAGGAGAGAACACAAGTTTACCTGATTTCCACAATTCACCCTCATGGTGTTTTTCTTTTCTTGACAAATAGTTCGCCTTCATCCTCTCATCGAAGTTGCAAACATTGACACCGAGTCTGACACTATGGGGAGGCAGGGCTCCTGTGTAGTGAGCGTATAGGCCCGACCTGCAGAAGTGTGAACATGTGTTTGTGCTGTGTGTCTCTCAGAGGATTCGCTCCACTGTGGATGAGAAGGAGCAGAAGCAGCTGCTGATGGATCTGGACGTGGTGATGAGGAGTAGTGACTGTCCCTACATCGTTCAGTTCTACGGCGCTCTCTTCAGAGAGGTCTGACCAGAACTCCCTGACCTCAAACGCACCACATCATGCTCTGCCTTTAAATAGCCACTGTGTTTGCTACGTGTTCTATAGGATCTAATATTTCATTGATAATCAGTGAATCATCAGATTGAACCCAGACTTGAAGGAAACTAAGCGTCCACTCTCTGTTTCAGGGGGACTGTTGGATTTGTATGGAACTTATGTCTACCTCATTAGACAAATTCTACAAATATGTATATTGTGCGTTAGACGACGTCATTCCAGAGGAAATATTAGGCAAAATAACATTAGCGGTGAGTAGAGGATTTACTTTCTCTTTGTACATATTGATCTCATGCCGTGTGTGTCATCGAAACAGGAGTGATGTGTTTTATTTTGTCTCCAACAGACCGTTAAAGCACTGAACCACTTAAAAGAAAACTTGAAAATAATTCACCGAGGTATGTCTTTGTATTGTTAAAATGTAAAATGAGTAAAAATGTAAATAATGAGCACAAGCCATGTTACTGAATTTAAAGATAGCTCTGTCCCTTCAAAATAAAACAGTGGTGAATATTTTTACACTGCCTCTTAAAATCCATTGGTGCTTGCATTTAAAACCTTGGATCAATTCTCTGAATGTTACTTGGTGTAAAATGGTCTTTTTTTCAGACATCAAACCTTCCAACATTCTCATGGACCGAAGGGGAAATATCAAGCTGTGTGATTTTGGCATCAGCGGTCAGCTGGTGGACTCCATAGCCAAGACCAGAGATGCAGGCTGCAGGCCTTACATGGCGGTAAGCAATCACAAACGGTGACACACAGCCATACTCCATCTCAAATAATATTTATAATAACACCTAAACAGCATTCACTAATAAAGCATTTTTGATTTGAAAATGCAGATAGTTGGGACAAAATACTTTTTAAAAACATTTACTGACTCAAACTTGACAAACATGTTGGTGAGAAGACAAATCTGCAGGTGAAACTGCTATATACAGTATGTCTGTGTTGGAATCACTGATCTCCTTGGCCAATGTGACACTCATCCACCGAGTTTCATGAAAATCGGTGCGCACAATGTTAAGCTTCAGTGCTCTTTGCTCTTTTGTACATGTTCCCTCTTTGGTGGAGAGCAGCGTTTTTCAGCTGACGTCTAATGACTGTGAAGGCAGTAGCAGAGGATGTTCATTGTGTAATTGTATCATGCAGTACGCCTGTAAGGAAGCTTCTGCATTTATGTTCCTCTGCTCATTTATGTGGGTTTTCTCCGGTCTTTGCAGTGTGTTACATAAAATGCAGCAGGAGTAGAAACCAGACCGGTCATTGATCACAGGTTATCAGATTTTACAGCTAGATTATAGTGGGAGGAGAAAAAGAAAAGAGTATGTAAGGGACGCATGATATGGATTTTTTTTTTTGGACGATACGATAACCGATAATTATCTGCTGCTCGTGGCCAAAACCGATAACATAACCGATAATTCCACATTTTTGTATTTTAAAAATAAGTTAAAAACATGTAGTATTTACACACTTAATGGTAAGAAAGGCTGACATCACTATTGTTAACAACAACATAAAGCTTCCAAATAAATGATTATTAATATCAACTGATAATTTATTGACTGTAATTTCATTATCCTGATCATTTAGAATATAAGTTTCCCATTATTGGCTGATAATTTATCTGTCCCAATAATTATTATGAATGCCTAGAGTAAATATCAATTATAAGAATCCTAATTTCAAAAGTAAGCGCTCCCTCTGTGATGAACCTAACCTGTGACTGAACACAAATGAATAGAAGTCTGTTTACAGTATTGTCTGTGTCATCTCAAGTCTTTGACTCTGAGCCTGACCTCTGACCTCCCCATGGAAGGAGGAAACAATAAAAATGTCCTTGGGTTCAGTGAGGTTTCTCAGTCTTTTCCTGTGTGTGTTTCAGCCTGAGAGGATAGACCCCAGTGCTTCCAGACAAGGCTACGATGTCCGCTCTGATGTGTGGAGTTTGGGGATCACCCTGGTAAGATGAATGGTGTCGTCAGCTTTAACGTGAAATCTTCTCGTTGTTACGTCCGAGAAAATGTGAATGGACTGTTGCAGTAAGTCTGTCTACGTTGTTGTGTTTGCTTCCAGTATGAGCTGGCCACAGGACGGTTCCCTTACCCCAAGTGGAATAGTGTTTTTGATCAGCTGACACAAGTGGTGAAGGGTGAGCCTCCCCATCTCAGCAACTCAGAGGAGAGGCAGTTCTCCCCCAAGTTCATCAACTTTGTTAACCTCTGGTAAGCAGCATTACATTCACTCATACAGGCTGTAGAGTACTATAGGCTTCTGCTCACTGTGTGAAATACACTAAATTCAACATCCTGTGTTACTGAACAGCTTAAAACTGTTGAGCTTGAAAAAGTTTTGTTGTCCTTAACTAAACTCAACTAAACATCCACTTACCAGCTTTTTCAAGAGCTTTCAACCACATCTCAAGGTCTTCATCAGTGGATGGAGTCTGCTCATTCGTCTTCAGGAGGTCTGAGTATAGAACGGTGCTCTCCTGACAACTGAGCAAACTCCATTCGCAAAAGAAGACCTTGAAAAGTGATTTAAAGCTATAAAAAACATAGTAAGTGGACATTTAGTTGAGATTTTTAATGGTTTACAAATACCTCCCGACTAAAAGCAACAGTGCAGTAATAGCACAGCTGTGTTCTTTGATTTATGTGTTGGTTAGTTTGGTGACATAAGGAATGTTCAAGGACTTGTTACTTTTCTCTTTTTCATAAATAAGGACTTTTTACACACGAACCAGTTTGTGTTCATTGGAATTGAGATACCTCAGTGTGCTATAAGCAAGCTATACATCAGCTTCACTCAGTAGTGTTTACTGTGCTGCTTTGTACCTTTTACCACTTTGACACACATTCACAGTAGATACATAGAAAATAATAAAAAAGCATTTAGCTTAACTTTGAGACACCATAAAGATGGAGGTTTACAGTGGGTCCTAAGTGTCCACGTATCTTGACAGTCTTCCACTGAATACCTATACTTATGCTGATGGATTCTCTTTTGTCCTGTTCTGTCCAGCCTTACAAAGGATGAATCAAAAAGGCCAAAGTACAAGGAGCTGCTGGTAAGTTCTTACACTGTTCTTTTACAAATCTGTAGTCCAGATCCAGCACACGAGCATCTTGTGTCTCTTTGCTGCTGTCCAGGGTTCTGGAAAAGACCATGAATTGATTTTAAAGTAACCTGGCCAAATGAACGGTCTACTTAACAGAGGATACTATGGACACGTAACACAGTTTGCTGTTAATGGTTAAAAGTTTGATTCTTAGCATTGTGCCTAAACCCTTTAGCTGTTCTAAAGTCACTGAGCAGGCCTCAGGTCAGAGCTAATATGATTGGGGGATAGTTTACCTTCAGTGTCAAAGGTTAATGACATTTGGAAGAAAGCAAGAAATCAATTTCTTAAACTTATGGATTGGGTTAATTAATATGACTTTTGACCCTTTAAAGCTACTCTATCTATTTTTATATAAACAATAAATCAAATGAAGTAAAAGGCGTCGCACATAGTGAGAACGTCTCACCCTCAGCCCTAATCCACCTCTGTCCAGCAGAGATAGGAAGGCTATGAAAAATCCCCCGTACACATAGACTTGGTGGTTAGTCTGGTGGTGAACATTGAGTGAACATTGTGAATGAAGCAGCTAAATGTGCGAGCAAACTAAACATTTTCCTCCGGAGTCAGTTCATCAAAACTTGATCTTTTATTAAAACAAAGCTAAAAGCTAAAAAAAGGGTGAATATTGGACTTTGATGCGTTAGGTGACCAAAACAAGTATAAATGTTTAATTTTAAATACATTAAAATGATTTTATTTCCCTGGTGACCAGCTGAACACATATTTGAGGATATATCCCTTTAGCCATCAGCGATCTTTTTATGAAAGTAAAAAGCTCCTCGTGTCTCACACATCCTCATCCTGAAGCTCACTGTGTCTTTCCTCCAGAAACGTCCCTTCATCCTGATGTATGAGGAGCGGTTCGTGGACGTCGCCAGCTACGTCTGTCGCATCCTGGATCAGATCCCCGCCTCTCCCATCTCTCCTATGTACGTTGACTGATGGAGTTAGGCTGGGGGAGCGAGGGGGAGGGCGGGGGGTGGCGAGATCACCCAACATGCAGTGGGTGGGACACTAAGCTTTGTGATGCAACGCTTGACATCTTAGCCCTCAGAGTTAACGTAGGATCACCTGTTTATTCATGCGTTCCAAAGAACAAGGGAACTAAGTCCAAATTGCCCGGTGCAATGAGATGATATTGTTAAACCCTTCCACCTCCCATCACCTCATTTTAAAGTCGGTGAAACCTAAAATATTATCACCCATCTTCACCCAGAAAAACTTGAAGACATAACATTGTCTTAGTCAAATGCAATGCATCTTTTTATGTGAGGTAAAAGAAATAGAGTATACATATATGGTATATATATACTTGAACTCGTACACAAATACAGAATCTACCAAATAAAATGTTGAACAGTGACACTCATGATGTATGAACAAAAATAGCCACATATTGGATTGTACATTGTGGACTGTATGTATGCATATGTGTGTTCACCTCTGAATTGTTGACCTGTACAGATGTATGCCGATAGACCTACTGTCTAAACACACACACACACACACACACACACACACACACACACACACACACACACACACACACACACACTCACACTCTTTTCAAGCAGTTTGTTGTGGTCACTCATGGTAAATGCAAAAAGTGTTCTCTCTGGAAAGCTCATGGATTCGGTAGCGTGGCTTTACTTTTTTCCCCCCAATATGCAATCTGTGAGAGTTTGTCTTGACACATTATTAGGACATGTACATTTCTCACAGTCAGCGTTGGCCCCAGTTTGTACACTTTGTACACCGTCATTGGAGTCACGGAAAGACCATAATATCATCTAGCAAGGCTGATGGCAGTTTTAATGGTATTTGCAGAATCACTTAACGCCTCTTCTATCTATCTGGATCAAACTATATTTTGTATACAGTGAAAAGAAAGTATGTTTCCCAGCAGACTGTTTCCTAATCCCAAAAAATCATTGTCTTTGGAAATGTCGGGTTAAGGATTGTTAGCATTGTATCAAAATGGAATCTTTTTGAATGTTCTGATAATGTTTTGCTTTCAGTATTTGCAAGTAACTAAAGGTATAAATAAGTAAACAAACTCAAAGATCATTTGTTGGCTGAGAAAGCAAGGAAGGGCTGCACGTAGTCTTTACCAGGTTCGATTCCAAGCTGCCCCCCTCGCCCCCCTTCCCTGTCTGTCGTCATCTGTTCTATCAAAATAAAGGCACAAAAGCCCCAAAAATGTCTTAAAAAAACAGAAAGCAAGGTATTTGGCTTAGTACAGACACCAGCTGAAAGATGTTAACCAGACATAAGCCAACAGTTGACTTTAATTAGCATTAAGTAGCGACAGCTAACTGAATCTGTTGCTGGTGATTTGTGATGTTTGTAGTCTTAACCAGCCAGAATGAGGATCAACACAGCTACAAACGTACCACCTAAATGTTTCCTGTATTACTCTTTGCTAATATAAGAGAGGAAGAGGAGAGAGAAGAGCTTTCAGTAAAACATTTGTTAGCGTTGGAGTTGAGACTGAGCTGTGAGACTCAACCTTACAGAAATGACATATCAACAATTTTGTACAGCATAAAACTAACATTACATATACAGTACATCTGCTAAAGTAAACCAACTGAATGTTGCTTTATGTTGTACAAAAGAAAGCACAGAGGTATGTCATTTCTGAATATCATTTGCATCTTTCTTTGGATTAGGAAATAAAGTTGCGAATGGGGAAGCAGGTTAAAAATCTTTATTTTATGGACAGAATATTTTAGAATCCAGGTGGACAAAAGAGTCTTTGAATATTCAAAGAAAACCATTTGATCTACAGCAAATGTTGTTAAATGATCCTCTGGGTTTTTCCGAGGTTTTCTGTGATTAATCCAGAAAAACAGAATATGCACAAACTGAGGCTAATTAAATGCTACATTGTTACTTTAGGACATCGCGTCCACCGATGTAAATGTGTATGTATATAGTACATCTAATCTGCTGTTCCTGGCAGGGCCTGCTCGACCGTTACGGCTCATTCCTAAACAGAGAAAACCAAATGAAACTGTGAGCAGATTTGAAGCTGGGCGAAGACTGACAATGTGTCTGTACGTTTCAGTTTGAGAATGAGCCCGAATGCTCCTCCGCAGCCCGTCATAGCACTGTACAGCTCAACTGCTCATCCACACTGATCACAGGTGCACCGTGCTGCCACACAGAGGCAGACAGTAGTAACTGCATTGTTTAAAGTCCTGGCAAGGGTTTCATGTTGAGAGAAAGGACACCCATCAATGCTGCTAAATGACATCATTCTGTACCAACCACACAACTGTCAGGAGAGGAGGATCACCCTTCCTCACACAGTTACTGCTCTTTGACCCTTAAGGTCTCCATGGACTCAGCATGTTCCTCCGTGACTCGGCATGTCTCTGGCTTGCACTGATGATAGAATGTTTCCCACGCCAAACCATGTATTACACTCGGGATGCATCTCTAGTCTTAAACGCGTTCCCACGCCTGTGATGTGATTACAGATTACCACACCAGGCAGGTGAAGTGGAGGACGCAACGTGAGACTATTGAGATCCATCCGCTGTCATTCCCTCACAGAAAGCCACGTCTACCGGGCGGTAGTTGGTGGACAAACCACACAACTTGGAGTTAGCTACTTAACCAAACTGTCTGTATGGATGGTGGTCCTTTAAGACTGGGACACTGTAGAGACTTGTAATGTAACAAATTGCCTTAAAGGATAAGGATGGCCTTATTTATATTTTTCTTTTTTGTCAACAAATCTCATTAATATAGCGTTGAATATTGCCCGTCTTATCCTTTAACCTAGCAAATACTAATAATGGAAAGTAACTGAATGTAACATAGCGTATACGATAATAAGCCAAGAGTATGCAGTAATCTAAGTCATCTGTTGACTGTCACATGATACAAGGATGATATTTTATGTGTCAGAGTATTACTATTATTGTTAACTCACAGCTTAATGTGTTTTCAGCATTGACTGACATTGTCACATTTCAAGTTTTGATTGTATATTTGGCTTTTTTTCCCACTGTATGCTTTATTACATTTAGTTTCATTGCATTAAAGGAATTGTCTTACTTAAAGGGTCACTCCAGCGATTTTAGTATTGTACTTTCATAACATTGGGAGTCTTGCAAGAGACTGATTAAAAACACAGTGGTCCAAATGGATGCAGCAGAGGCCAAGATCATATGGGGAAGGCTCCAAAACCAAAAAGAATAACTCTTATGAAATCATTAGGTTGTTTTCTTAGACTTGACAAAGCTGCTCCAGAGCCACAGAGGACATTTTATGACTGAATAGTACTCCTGATGATTGGTGAAATTCACTGGAGTGCCCCTTTTATGTTTTACTTAAAATTCTATGACATGGGCCTCTACAGATGTCAGCCATGTTGGAAAATGGCCACCATCATTGGGATGTGTGGAGGAGTTTGGGGACAGACTTGTTGAATACTTATTGGGAAGGGGGTAAAACATTACAACCAAGTTGGTGGAGATGCAGTGTAGACCAGACATGATTCTCTCTACAGGTCAAATGGAGAATTGTGTCAGCTCTGTTGTTTCCATTTCTATCTGTAATGCAAAATGGTGCAAACCCCGGAGAGAGCCCACAGTCTCATGTGACCCAACAGACGGAGTCGTTTCACTGCAGTCTCCAGATCTGTTCTTCTCTCATGGGATACATTTCCAGGAAGCTAATTTACCACTGGTGAATATGAATCTCCAGGGTACATGTTGTATAAAATGCAATTTACTAGAATGTTCATATTAGATTATAAAATAATATTAAGGGCGATGAATATTATATTGTATCTTTATCAACGGTTACAAATAAAGTTCCCATTGAAAAGATTAAAACCCTGTATTGTGTGCTTCTTGTGAATTGGACATGAATAAAAAAGTAACTGCGGAAATGATTTTGCTGTGATAAGTTTATTGCTCGTCTTTCTGTAGTATACAGGGATGCAGGCAAATACTGTTTTTTTTATTATTTTTTACAATAGCAAAGCAAGTCGGTGGCCAAGCAACATGGAAGCTTCTGTCAGATGTGATTTTCTTTTCTTGAGAAAACGCCACAAGATAAAAAAGGCCAGTAGATATTCTTTCGACAGAAGGCAGGAAGTAAAGAATATCAGCTTTGTCATATAGTCAAGATGGGCATTAATAGCCTACAAGTAACCATAGAATCTATTTAACAAGTGCAACACTTCATAAGTAACAGGAAAAAGCAATATTTGGTCTAACCAGAACACAAAGTGAAACCCATGTTAACAGAGAACATAACTGTAAATGCAAGTAGGAATTGGCCAATGCTCCTAAAGCTATAATCTGACAGTTTGGGATTAGCTTTCTTGCCGAGAGTTAGCTCGATGAGAAGATGGACTCCACTTTACATGTGTCGGGTAAATATGAAGCTGGAGCCAGGACACTGTTAGCTTCGTTTAGCACAACAAACAAGGTAATAACTGCTGACTCAGGCTAATTAAAACTTTGTTTCCAGTCTTTATGTAAATGAAGATAACAGACTGCTGGCTGTGGCCTTAAATTTAGCGTATGAATGTGACAGTGGTGTCAATCTTCTCGTCTAACTACTGTTAAGTTTTCACGTTTGAAAAACAGACTGCTGCCCGAAAGTGAAAACTTAAAGGTGTAAATTCTCTCATTAGTGCATCTACTGTGTGTATAGGCCGGCTCTGGCTTTGCTGTGTTAATATGCAGTATTCACAGTAAAGATCTGAATATATTACATTTTCCTATTCACAAGTGCTAATTATGGACATTTCCACTTCGTATGATTCTTTATAGAAAAGTGTTTAAGAAAGCATGGCTTTTCGAAGTGGTTCCTTCACTTTGTGTCACATTTTTAAGAGATTTACTAAGAAATGTCCGTGGTCATAATGGCAGCACTGGAGTTTTCAGGTAAATCAAAGAGCCCCAATCTTTTAGAAAGGAATGTCAGTATAAATACAGGATAAAGTATAAATATAAAAAAAAAACACAAAATAAATAACTGTGATTGGCCTGGGAATAGAAAGGGTGAAAATTTGTCAGAACAAAAAACTACTAAATATGATAAAATAGAGATGAAGTTGTATTTTTCATTAACATTTGTCTGGTTTTGCTTTCTATGATAACGTCTGGTTTTCAGGGGATAGCAAATTATTAATACATTATAAAGGGGAAACTGGTATAAAATATTTTTAATAAAAAGCTGTTGCAAATAAGGCACAGTTTGTCTGCCGATTAAAACCGGTAAGACCAAAGGTTTTTCAGACATTAATGTCATTCTGTGGATAAATACGCCAAATAGTGTAAAGAAACTTGTATAAAAAAAGGTCCTTCAAAGGAATGACAACCATTTCTACACACATATTCTAAGCTCAAGCAAACTGTGACAAATGTGTATTTAGCTAGAGGTGCACAGTGAGATTTTTTTTTGTCATATTTACATCAATTGATGAACTGATTACATAATACACTTGATTTGTGGTTTGTGTCGTCTCCCACACCGCTGACAAAATATGCAGACGTCAACTTGTCTCTGTCAGTACAGATAGTTAAGATATTTACAAAATGGCCGTACTAAGCAATCCAATTCAGCTTGTAATTCCTTTTGTTTTTTTCCAGTAATACAAACATAAACTCAGAAAATATACAATGATTGTCAAAATGTGTCTTCAAGTCTAAGTGGTGTAACACTGATATTGCATAAAGTGTTGGTATAAAGCACTGTAATCTTTTATTTCCATTTTCTAGAAAATCCTTCATGTGTCCACTGTCATACTTATTTGGCAGTTGTGCGCATCATTGTCCAAAATGGACAAAGATCGTGTCAAACAGCACATAGTCTTTGGATTTTAGGTATTCTGACAACAAGAGAACCTCATTTCAGTGAAGTGGAGAAAATAAGTCAAAATATAATTCTGTAGTTGACTTTGTCATCGATCTTTGGATGAAGACTAATGGTCTACTTCCCTCTATATTATTATAACAAGAAACAAGTTGTGGCACTTGGACTGAAGTTCAGGTAGAACAGTTCTTTGGTATGGTCGAAGCTGATCAGCGGTCCGTACAGCTACTTGGAAGCTGGTGTCGTGATTGACGGCCGACTTTGGTGCCGGTGCTGCTTTCACCAGTGCTCCAGGTGAAGGTCCATGGCCGAGTTCAAGTTAATGTCTGTGACATCCAGGAACTCTGTGTTAAAGATGCTGGGCCCACTGGGCGGAGCAACGCTGAAGGCCGTGGCCAAGCTGGGTGGCGTCAGGTCCAGCCACTCCATCGTCTCCCACGGCGTCTCGCTGAAAGTCATGCTGACCATCCCCTGCACCTCGGGGACGGCGGACACTTTGGTGCTGATGGGTGACAGAGGGGTGTCCATCAGGTCCCTGTGGGTCATAAGTTTGTCCTGTTGGGGATGATGAGGGTGGCGGTGGTGGTTGTGGGGGCTGCCGTACCCTTCGCTGTCCCTGTTCCCTTCATCTTCCTGCCCCCCGTCCTCAGCAGCCATTTTAAGAAGGGCCACCTCCCCTCCCCGGCCAATTGGACTTCCCAGCAGAGTCTCCAGGTGGCTCTCAGTGATGTGATTGGCCGAGTGGTCGTAAGGGAGCTGGGTGGGGGACAGGTGTTCGTAGTGTCTGTGGAACCTCGGGATGAGGAGGCCGGGACACCCTGGGGACACAGTAATGTGAGGCACAACTTTGGTTACAGAGGACCTCTCCCTCTCTTCTCTGGCGTTAGCTGGCATCTCTTGAAGAGAAAGAGGAGAGGAGGGAGGGTCACAGCAGGTACTGGGATCTGATACCACTGTGTGGGGCAACTGTGATTTGAAACCAATGCACTTGGTCATTTACAAATAGATTCTAAACCATCCTGAATATACATGCACAGTGCTAGCTAAGCTAACGTTATTGGAGTGAAATTTCACCTTACCTCCACTCTCTATGAGCACATCCAAAAGTTCGTCCATCTGCTGACTTCTGGTCAGTTGCTGGAACAGTAATAAGAAGGTGATTCTTTTTATCAGTTGAACAATGTTTTAACAATTAAAAATCGAAGTATATTCAAGAATTTTGCATGAAAAGTATGCAAGCTTTCAAGCAGTCTACGCAGACTTGCAGAATAGAGTTTTGTTAATACAAACTGTTCTTGGAGACAGACAAGTTTATTGTTGGAGATCAAACTCTTTAACTAGCTTTTCTAACTGAAAGCCAACAAAAGGCTAGAGAGAGTTAATATGGGTCCAAGCACTTGTAGCACGGGGCTGTGAACAGTTTCAGTGTCGTACACACTGCATGCTCTGTTCAGTGAACTACGCTCTCTCTCTAAGCTTGTGCAAAAGGAAAATGTTTGCTCGCGCTGTAAAATAAAACTGCCTCATGGAAATGTTAGCTTGTCACTCCAGTGAGGCAGTAAAGGTGTTACAAACAAACTAATGTTAATTCTACAACATACTTTGGTAGGCTTCGTAGGTTGTGTTCGGATCAATTCAAAGGAAACAGTTTTTAAATGTAATTTTTTGGCTGTGAACACCACACAGCGTTCACATCTGTTGTATCCGGGAGGAGACAGTCTCTTGGTAGGTGTCCACAGGATCAGGAATTTCCACACTTCCTGTTCATCGTCTATGTAAGCAGTTAGATCAACGACCCGTTGTTGATCTAAAATGAAGATTCGGGGACTACATTGTTTTTTTCTTGCTGAAACACAGGTTGGTGAACTATTTCCATAATATAAGAGGAAGCTTCCAGATGTGGGAGTACAAAGCATTTGTCCAATCAGGTACTACCAGGAAGTGCTTGCACGGTTGTAGCAAGTTGTCGCCTTTTGTTGGTCAGTAGGACTAAAACTGTCCAATGCTGGGTGGCACAACCCCTCATAACCAAAAAGGCCCCTGTACCACACCGTACCTGTACGAATAAAACAAATAACATCCTGTCTGCCCGAGCACAGCCAGATAACACTACAGGTGGGTGACTTGTTGTCTTCTTGGGTGAAGAGACATTTTCACTGTTGGCTTGTCTAAGTTAGCTAGTAAGATAGGAATCTTGGTTCTTTTCCGTTGTCAAACTGATACAGTGTTTAGCTGAGCTAGTTGGCCAGCTCGCTGTGTCTGCAACATCCTCAGTGTCTTGGTCAAAAAAGCACCTTCCATTCATATTCAATCTATTTTGACAGAAAGAGGCTGCTCTTCTCCTTGTAGCTGTTATAGCCCGACACATACTGGATTTGTGAGACCGGTATTTCACAGTTTTGGAAATCCAATTACAATATATTGGCCAATATAAAAAATAAAAAAACATGAAAATGTCCTAAAATGACCTTTTTTTTTTAAAGAACTGTGACCATACAGAGCCGGCCAATCTACAGTTGAAAAATAAACTTGTTCGTGCTCTACTAGCTATCTCTCCAACTGAAAAACCTTTCTGAGTTACATCTGCCTTCAAAAAATGTTTGTACAACTAAAACACCAATCTGCTTCAGACTTGGTAAAGGGTGGAAAGTTAGTGCAGTGAACAAAGCGAATGGATGAATAAAAGAGGAGCAGTACAGGCGATGGACTTAAAGAGACAAAAAAAGAGGAGGAAAAGTGGAATTAGAGCAACGCCGATAGGTAAAATAAAATCTCTGGCCAGCCATTATCTACTGAATTTTAGCATGGATTTGAGTTTACCTGTTTGACTGCATCCTCATAGCATGGGGGCTGTCTTAAGTCAGATGCATCTGAATCTGAGCTACTGAAGGCAGGGGGAGAGACCTGGCACTTTTGGCCAACATGCCGAGGAGAGGGCGCTACTGACATCTATATGAGAAATAGGTGAAAAGTGACATTAGCCCACCAATTAGAATAGGGGAGCTTACCAAATGTGAGTGTATTGCAGATTTTAAAAAAGCAAAAAGAACTATCAGGGCCTTGGGACTGAATAATCTCATCACATTAAACATTTGAGAAAAGGGTTGGCGTTGTGTTCTTGTAAAGGAAAAGTCACCAACATGTGAAGGAATGTGTGATGAAAACGGAGCTATGACGAGAGTGACAATGAACCTCATAACAAAAGACAACTGTACAGAGTCAGAGACAGAACACAAATTAATAGAGAAGAGAAAAACAGTTACGTGAATGTGAGGTGATTCAGATGAAGTACACAACACCGACACGACAACACTGCAAATGCTCTTGTTGTTGACTTAATGTTTACCTTCGGTTGGATATTCGGGATCTCAGCCTTGGCTGAGCCGCCATGGCCACAATCAGCTGGGTTGGGAAAGACTCCCTGAAGGCCTCTTTGGTCAGAAGGATAAGAACAGTTCACTGCCTGGCCGCCATTCTTCTGCTGCATCTGTAGACACATGTAACCACAAATGTTAGAAAACATAGACATAAAAGAGAAGTTAAAAAATATAAGACATACTGTGGTTTTAGATTATTTGCAGAGGAATTAGCATGTTTTTGGCAACCTGAAGTGTCAGGCAAAATTCAACAATCATCTTTCTCTAGAATGACCTTTAAGATATGACTATATACATGTGCTTGTCTTTTCAACATAGCCTAGCACATAGCATATCTAAGTACAGGAAAGGAGAAAGTTGACCGAGGTTCTGACCGAGGCTTGCTCAACTGTTATTGGAGCACAGAGCAAAAAGGGGCGGGGCTAAGGAAATACCCTGCTGTCCATAAATACATCGTACCTGCATGTTGCGTGCTCTGTTATTCCCCTGGGGGTGGGGGTGACCGCAGCCGTCTCTTCCTAGCGGAGGTGACAGTAAGTAGGGGTTATTAGGAGACGAAGGCTGGGGGCTATTAGAAGGCTTTCCAATGGGGGAGTCTTGTGGTGAGCACTGTGGACTGAGGAAGGTCGACATTGTTGAGGGGCTGCCAGAGGAAGGGGTTGTGTCCATACACTGTGGCCCACTGGGGCCCCCCATATTGGAGAGGGGGGCGTTACAGTGTCCCATATCCTCCATGCAGCTGCCAGGAGAGCTCTTCAACTGTTTGGGGGAGGACAGAGGGCAGCTGGAGGACAAGGACATGGGCTCCTGCTTGATAGTCACCCCAAAGAAGTGCTGGCCCATCATGGCCGGAGTCTGCTGGTGGTGCATGGAGGGGTGAGATGGAGGAGGGATGGTGTCCTGCGTTGCTCCATAGCAGCGTTTCCTCTTGTGGAGCTGCATCTTCAGCTCTTCAACCTGACGAAGGGAAATATGTCCATCAAAGAAAAGCCTTTAAAGATGTTTGCAGATGTGTTGTTCTGTTACATTTTATTCTCTGATGACATGAACTGACGATGGCTGACACACTGATGGTCACTCACCTGTCTCTGCTCCTGGTGCAGCTTCCACGTCAGCTCCTCAATCACCTTCTGCTTTTCCACCAGCATCTTATCTTTCTCAGCATCCACGCCATCCATACTTCCACCCTCCCCTGCCCTCAGTCCTCCCCCGCCCAGGCTGCCTCCCCCCAGGCCGTCCTCCATGCTGAGCTGGGCCGGAGAAGGCTGCAGGGCGAACTGCGTGGGTGAGGACATGGGCACGTCGCTGAAGCTGTCAGGGAGCGAGCCGCTTAGGGACAGCTCAGAGGAGGCCGGAGAGATGGGAGGGGTGGAGGAGGTGCTGGGGTAAGGGTAGTAGCCTCCCTGGGACAGGGCGCTGGAGGAGGACGGGGACTGGTAGGAGGACAGGGACCCTGTGGGTGTGACCGGGAAGGTCACAGTGGTGATGTCAGAGGAGCCGGAGGGCGAGGAGCCGGCGTTGGAGTCCTTGAAGGGTCGGAGGCGCTCGATGAGGGCCGTCTTGGTGCCGGACACGGGCATCCCACGAATACGCAGGTGCTGCCTGAGCTCTGATACCTTACAATGCAAGAAGAAAAGAGATGTGAACATCAAAGTCATGTAGGCCCTCTTATAGTATCTCCAGTGTCCATTTTTCTTATCTTAGTTCGACTTTGGAACACCTACTTTTAGGTCATCCAGATTAGCTGGCAGGGGCCCAGGTTTGACCGGTGAGATGTTGCTTTGGTTAGGATATGTGGTCTTGACCGGAGAGGAGGAGTTACTGTTGGCTTGGCTGGGTGGACCACTGGAGCTACAAGCTGATAGCTGCTCACTGGCTCCTCTAGAATGGCAGAATGAAATGACTTAATCACAGAGGGAAATAGCAACAGTAAAAACATGCATCAACTTGGTACTACTTTTAATCAGACACCCTTTAAGAATGGATCAAATGATTTCTACTAAGGCTTTACAGAGCAGTTGTAAGCAATTAATAAAAACAAGTTTTAGGTTGCCAGATTGGAAAAAATGCCAGAAAAATGTAACTGAAACCGTTGATAAATACTATGTATTTATTTATTCAAATGTAGTGTAAAATATAAGTCCGCAGGCACACTGTGTGGAACACTTGTGAGATCTGTTGTAAGGGCCTTTATCAACCACTTCATAACTTTTATAATTGAAAATGACTTACTAGGTTGATAGCTTATTGGAAAGGAATCTATTAATAACCTAGTAATATCAGTAAGTTCCTAACTGTCTAATAAGCCATCAGGTTTACAGTTATAAGTCAATAGTAAAGGGTAATGGGTATAACTTTATAATAAACTAAAAATATTGCCTATTACTTATGTGGCATTAGTGAATCATTTATTAAGCATTAATAAAGCCATTTGTTCCAACTGGTGAGCCCTTTATAATAGATGCCTTACTCAAAGTCTATCATAAGATTTAAGATTTAATTCAATGACTTCTTGGGAAAAGTAGTCAGATAATCTCAACTGTTAACAAGTTCCACTTTAAACTGCATCTGATGGCCTTCATCAGGGAATGCTGTTGCCTCACTTGCATGGACTTCAGCTAACTCCATTCCCTGATGAAGACCGTAAAATCATGTGGTTGATAGCCCCAAGAAAAGCTAGTGAGGGGACGTTGGGTGAAGATTATGATTGGTCCTCCAGTGTGACTTACTTCTGGCTTTGGCTCTGTGGGTGGGGCTGGTAGCTGAAAGCGGGCTGCCGCTGCTGAGCCTGGGCCTGGGCCTGTGTCTGTGGAGTGTGTGTGTGCTGGTGCGACTGCTGCGACTGCGGATGTGTGTGAGCGTGTTTCTGCTGGCTGAGGATCTGCAGCTGCAGGAAGAGCTGCTGCTGCTGGAGGAGTCGGGCGTAGGCCGAGTCCATGGGCGGAGGGGACTTCTCTGCCTTCTGGTCCGGAGGAATGTACTGGTGGTACTTGAGCTTCTTCACCTTTGGCTTCACATCTTTGGGCTTCTTGTGTCGGTTCTTGTCTGATGTCTTGGACTGTTCAGAGGGTGAGACGGTGTTAGAATGGCAGCTAATATTCTTAACTAAGCATTTGCAAAAGGTGTAAAGTGAAGGAGAAATCCAAAAATCAAAGCAAAGTAAATTCTTAAATGTTGCTGACCTTGACAATAGCAGGAACAGATATTGGGGGAGTAGCCTGGCTGTTGTTGGCTCCAGACAGTCCTTCATCCTGGCTTTGATCAGGTGGGTCTCGGGTTGCACCTCCCTGTCAACAAATAAAAACAACACACTGTATACAGTCCTCTACAGGAGTGCAGAGCTGCACCTCTGGGTGGACTGAACAGGCCATTTCAGGATGTCCCCTGTGGTTTGGTCCCTTGAGATAAGCATGTTTCAAGACCTCAAGAGTCTTGGTCACAACAATGCTTTGGTGCTAGCATCAGCATGCTCATATGCTCACAGTGCCAATACTAACATACTGTACAAATGTTTACAGTACACGCTTACCATTTTCACTATCTTGGTTTAGTGTTTTGGAATGCCAATATTTGCTAGTAAGGAATATCTTCACACTTAATTTGATACTTAATACTGACAAACACCTTAATATAAAGTGCTACCAGTACTTCTACTTTACTTGAGTATTTTCATTTTCTGGTACTTTGTACAGTACATTTCAGAGGGAAAATATTGTGCTTTTTACTCATTACATTTATCTGACTGCTTTAGACAGTAGCTATTTGGCAGATTAAGGATTTAAATAATGAGTATTTAAAATACAATACAAAATAATAATAAATTAAACCACCTGACAGTATACAAAAGTGTACAACTAGCTTATGAGGTAATGCATCAGTCATGATAATTCAATAGCATAACATATAACTGTAACAGTGACAGCGGCCATTCAACCTGGACAGTGTGTATTTTGACTTTTATGCATTTTGCTGATAATACTCATGTGGTCTTACTTTTGTACACATTTGAGTGAAAGGCCTGAATCAAACAATGTGCACATTAGTAATATGTAAACTGGTGTGTTAAGAAGAGAGTTTCACTCAAACGGGTTTAACAATTCCATCACAGTATATCATAAAAGTGACTAAAACACCAACTGGTTTCCTTTATTTGGATATTTTTTAGACTGTGGTCACATGGTTTTTGCTGGTTTTGCCTTAGGTTCACCTGCCTACAATACTCATTTCTCTTTCAGGGTTATAATGTTGAATTGAGGAGGTGTGGGGATTGCTTACAAGACAGTCAGTTTGTTATCCAAATGGAATAATTTCTCCCCAAAATGCACATGTATTGATGTTTCATTTGCAAAAGTATTCCAAAAAGCTCTAAACAGGAGTTCCCAACTGACATGAGGCAGTGAGAGTTCATGATTCAGTTGGAACTGTCTAACAGGTATAAACAATCCTGTTCTGGCATGACTTTCAATCTAGTGACCGTTGCTGATGGCGACCGTTGGAATGAGGTCATCGTGAGTGAAAGGTAAGCAGTGAGGAAATGGAGGCCGCTGGCTCGGCGTGTAGGAATGTGACACCTGCCTAGTTCAACTCAGTCCAACGGTCAGTGGAAAGCAGAGGCTGAGGATGCAGTTCCCTCCGCCACCACAGGAGGGCAGGAGAAGCAAAGTAGAGATCCAGCAATGTCACAGAGAAAGACAGAGCAGAGAGAGAAGGCATATTTTATCTACATGCTGTTGAGAGACAGAGGTGACTTTTACCTGTCGTGGGCTGGTGAGGGCAGGTGAGGAGGAGGAGGAGGGCGTGCTGCCCACAGCCTCAGATGAAGGGCAGGCCGAGCCCTGCGACTCATCACTGTGATGCTGCTCTGGAGACAGACTCTCACTGCTGCTGTCCTCCTCAAACGCATAAGAGTCCTCCTGCTTAGGGAACTTACCATGGTGTACTGTAAGAAGAGCAGAGAGGGAGATGGGAGGAGGGTCAGTGTGCGTTCAGTTGTTTGGCCGTCAGTTCTATGGGCTTTTGAACATTGTTCTTACCAAATGTACGGCTGAGATCTGGAAACACCGTGACATTACGAAAAAGAAGTCTGATTACTAAGCAGGTTATAAGCCACATACTGATATTGACAATAATTTATATTTAAAAATGTTAATAATAATATTAATATTGTGTTAATAATACACATATAATAATATTGTGTAAATCATCCAGTGCCTCTTAAATCATTTCTGTTTCTTTACACTTTGTGCTTCACACTCCAACACAGTAAGCAGGGTTATGCTCCTTAAAGCTGCGTGCTAGTGTTACAGTAGAGGGTCATTAGTTTTTTTTTATAGATATTGTGATAATATTGTTTTATCATCAGGAATTATTTTGGCTACTAAAATCGTGTGGTGAAAAACTGAAAGTGAGCATATCCACAATGTCACTAATAAGCCCTAAAGAAAACTGAGCACACATAACCACAACAAGTACAGTAGGTGATAGTTGTGCCAGCTAGTAGTTTTACCATCTGGCCTTGTTTGTCTAACCTGTTTAAAACCAGTGCTCGTCCAACTTCTTTTTGTTGATGTCACCAGATCTCAACAATTAACTGATTGTTTGAAAATCACCAAAAACAAAACAGCTTTGTGAGCGCAGTCTTATCAGTAATGATGTAAATGGTGGCCGATTATAAAAGCATGACCCAAGTTCACGGCTTGATTACCAATCAGGCCTTCAGAGTTTGTAATTGCTACTCTGTCTGTTAATATTGTGTGCAAAACTGAAGCACATTATAAACTGAAATGATACTGATGATATGATACATTCCCTCCAATATTACCTAATCTTAAGGCCTGCCTTGTACTGGTGCCCTGAATGGGTATCTGTATCTGTTCAACCAACTAAATGATCTGTATGTGTATGGTGCTCAAACCGGAAAGTGGGTGGGACAAACCAGAAATTGAAAAGGGTTGATCAGAAGTTGCTATATTTAGAAAAACTATTCACAGCCTCAGAGTTGAACTTCAGAACAATGTTTCTGATCACAAGAGAAGGAGAACAATTTATCTTGTAACTATTTATCTGTGATTGATCTCTAAATAAATGGTCTAAATTGGTTTACAGGAAGTGTTTTTGCTATATTCGCGAGTACGGATATTACAGATACACACTTTACTCTGACAGTCGTAAGAAGCACATTATCTGTACCAGATACTCGTTTCTCACTGTAACTGATGGGATTCATCATCTTCTGCCAAAGTCGCTTTTTTTACATGACATTCCTGTGTCTGCGTACTGGTTTGAAGTGGGCGGGGCTTAGTTAGTAAAAAGGTGATGTCACATATTTCTGTGCACCAATTAGAGTTTGGCACGTTTGAATCAGAATGTGTGGACAGATGTGGGGCTGTTTGCTTCATGTTGCCAGGTCGCTGTCAGTCAAATCGCAGTAGGTCAAACTGCCCAAGTTGCAATGAGGAGGAATTGTCCTTTAAGTGTTGACATAAGGAAGGGACAGAGGGCGTTGTGTTGTTGCAAACTGCTGCACGTTGCACACAATGTATGTTTCCTGTGTGACCAGTGGTATTCACACACTGCCTGTCTGTCACTAACACCTAGTGCGACACTCAACCCGAAGGTGTTACGCCTTGTGGGTGAGAGACTGACACCGCCACTTTACATCCACCGCGCTCCTGATTGGCTGGGCTGATAGCGAGCACAGCTTTAATTGGAGGAGCTAAGAGTGGCTATCTAAAAGAGCTGAAGGGACAGAGCCAGGGGAGGGAGGTGGTAAAGGTTGGTGTGTGTGTGTGTGTGTGTGTGCGTGCAGAGGTATAAGATTCTCTTTTTGTATCCAAACATGTGACAGGCAGGAACAGACCCTGGTTTCAATCACAGCACCAGGCCCATTCTGTGCAACTCAATGACCTCGCAATACACACAAACACACACACACACACATACTCACAGAGCTTAACACACAGCTTAGTGCACACAGCATTGTCCTAAATGCCATTTCCTCCCACCTGTTCGTGTTTAACTCCTTCACTCTCCGCACTCAAACACGGCGACACACACTCTGAATGGGTCATGTGTGAATGTGCTGGTCCTCTCTGTCCTACATGCTGTCCAGTACATGGTGTTTCCATGAGTCTTTAAGTCAATTTGATGTCACTGGGAGATTGAGATGGCAGGATTGCAGGAAATCTGCGAGCCGTGTACACTTCCGCTTTTCAAGTGGCTAATTTAGAAGTTACGGCAGGTCACATAGTTTCCAAAATTACCGCGCAGAGGTTGAAGCGATCGTTGGGAGTGTTGTGTAAGGGAATATGGAGCTTTTAGGTGAGGGGTTAATGCTGCAGGCGAGGGGGACGCAACAGCCTGGTCCTGTCACAGAGCTTTGTAGGTGGCTGATTGGAGCTATACAGGCCTGTTAAAGCAGAGACAAAGCAGGGAGGAGGGGAGGTGAGTACAAACATACACACAGGTACACCCACACATACACACAAGGATGCACTCAAATTCAAATACACATCGCCACTTCTAAAGAAAAAGGGTGGACCCAAATACAGCTGCTGTTCATCTCAATAAACGGCGCTCCCTTCCTCCTGCAGAGGTAGTGTAAACCAGCTGACGGCAGCCGCCGTCTCCTTTACGCAACATGTTTACTGGAAGCTCAAGGGGGCAAACATAAAACTGCTAAAACACCAAAGTCTAAAAAACACTACTCGCGCTGCCAAGAATGATATAGAGAGAGTGAGTAACATGTTGAGCATTAGACGACAAACAGTGTGAGTACAGAGCTCCGCAGTGGGACGGCTCGGGCGTGACACTTTGCACAGCGCTAAATCAATGCAGCGTCTAAGCATGTATGTTGTCCATTTCCTTAAATCAAACACTGGAGGAGGCGGAGGTCTCCAGAGGTCTCCACATACACTTTAATCCTCAATATACATTTAGTAAAGACAGCGCCTCTTCTGAAAGAACCACAATAACTACATTTTTGGAGATCTACACCAGGTTCAAGAGATTTTCTGAAGTAAGCATGATGATCTTAAAAAATGTAAATAACATTCTCTGTGCTACAAATACAAATAAATGTGTGTTCCTGCCAAGAACTGTGGATCACATTAAGAAGGAACAACAGGAAACAGGTACGGAAAGAGTCCAGGATATGTAAAGGTGGGAAAGGGAAAATTCCATATGCCCTCATCTAATAAGTCACCCTTTATAGAAGGTTTTTAAGTTAATTAATGGCTAATACAGCATTTACTAATGCTTAACAGATCAGTAAGTGTTAAGGAGGTGTTAATAAATTAAGTAAATGGTCAAGGGGTCCAACCACTTAGAGGGACAACCTGGGACCACAATAGTTCTTATTAAAGCAATATCATAAAGAGAGAGTATCAGATCTTCATTTACAGACTAAATGCAATGTCTAATTCATTCTGTTCCCACAAAGCTTTCTGTGGTGGAGAATGCTGATCAAAGATCTACAATAAACACTCTACTGTTTGATAAAATGATGTGACTGTTTTGAAGTCCAGCAGTGCAGTCATTAAAGGACATGCTTGTTTGAGTAGATTACAATCTCTAACAGAGTGCTTTGTAGTATAGGACCTAAACAATGGATTGTTAATACACACACACAGTCAGGAGGGAAGCGTGCTCTCCTTCTCACTGCACACAGATGTGGAGTCACGCAGGTTTGAGATGCAGCAGGTGTTAAAGGTGTGTTACACACTACACAGCAGCATCCCTCTGCTGATACCTGTCATTGTGATGGCAGAGTCTAGGGGAATGATATTCTTTTGGACCAGCTCCAGGGGCCCCGGCCTGAGAGCCAGCTTCTCATTCAGGTCCTCGGCGAGCCGGGCTCGCCTTAGCCTCATCTGGGCCTCCAGAGAGGAGCAGTCTGAGGCCGGGTCTACACAACACACAGCAGCACCACACCATCAGCAACACTGGACACACACACACCAGGGAAACACTGCTTATACAGTCTGTACATACTGCAGTATTGCACTGTAATTTGCTCCAAATTGTATTTAAGCGCAGTTTTACTTAAGCTATATATTATATATATTTCTATCTATAAAAACAGTATACAGTATGAAGTAGTCTCCAAATGAATGAATCAGTAAAAATGTCCAAAAAGGTGATATATAATAATATAACACTGACAAGAAGCATTCTGTGGCGTAAGAAGTACTTTTACTTTGTCATGTCAATCAATTTGAACTGTCATGTAATTCATATGAATTCATTCATAAATCATGTAGCCGAACCCTAAAACACCGTGTGGCTGCGGTCATGCTGTTGTTTATAGTAATTCAATTTAAAAAAGTGCAGTATAATTTTCAACTTGTGGACTGCTGCTGTTAGCTCACTAGCCACGCTCACAACACTGCCTAATGAGGATACATAAACAACCATTTGTAGTCGGAAAAGTATTGACCAATCACGTTTGAGCAGGCTTTGGTTGCAAAAGAGGCGAAACACTCTGGCCAAAATGCAATCTCGGAGCCCATTGACTATCATCTGACGACAATTTCGCTTTTTGCTATCATTTTATTCATTTGTGTGCATTCATATGCAGAAATCTGTTAGCAGAAATGGGTCTTTCTGGTCATTCTTGCATATCCAATAGCTAATCAGACTGCAGAGGAAGTCTTAGCCCGGATATCCACTGGCTACACCGGAAGCCCCCAGAGGTTATATCGTTGTCAGACAGGTTCTGAGACAGCAACCCTGCCCAGCATTCAGCCAGGTGAAATTCAGTCCAAGCAGCATCTCTGCTGCCCCACATGAAGGACAAGCTAACATTACAGGGTAGTTGCGTTTTATAAAGTCCCCTGCTGGCCCCTGCTGCACGGCTTGCTGCAACAAACGCTGACAAATGTAAATTCGAACAAATGATTACATGTTGAACATTTCACTTTCTTTTCAATTAGTAACTACATTAAAGTAGTTTATGAAGCAGTACCATTTAAACATGAACACTGCACACAGATTGTAAGTTATGGGTTACCATTTAATGTATAAGTACCAAAAATACCTCCTAAAATCAATAGATCTTTTTTAAGATCAGACTGCTAAATATTGCGGGGTTTTTCATCTCATCTCATTTTTTTCCATTTCATCATCATGTTTTTCCTCCATGCAGTTAACCCTGCTGTATCCTGCTGTCATTTCCCCAACAAACACATGACTTCCCTCAGCCTTCCTTCAATAATTAATATTGCTGGATCGGTTCTAATATCTGTTCAGCTGCTCCACTCCCAGTACAGCCAGACACTTTTGAGTACTAGAAAAATAAATGGAGTGGCTGTAATTAAAGGGCTGCAGCGGGTGAGATTTTCAGCCTTCCACACTCTCTCTCTGTTAACTCCAGTATAAATAATCAGGGCCGGAGCTAACCTGGCTTGGCCTACAATCTCTCCACCGGACTGATTACCCGGCAGTGAGGAGAGCACACCACATCAGTAGAGTAACAGCACTTATTTGGTCAAATATAATTTCAGTGGGATATTTCTGAGGGCTGACACAGGATACAGCGCCAAAATAAAATGAATGATATTGTGCTGGACAACTCAGGTAGAGTATTACTGTCTGATGAAGAATGAGCCTGAAATTTAATATTTCAAAAGAAACTTTAAAAAATAGTTCAAACATCAAAATTAAGTTTATATTAATGTGCAATATTACACATTTTTAATCTCCTGGTATAAAATATTTGGCTTATTCATTCAAATTAGACTTCTATAATCCTGTAAACTTAGAGGATGGATGCAAGATAAAAACAGATAGAATATTTGGGTGGGAGATAAACATGAAAGAAAAAATGTAGGAAAGAAAAACAGACTGATCAAAGAAGAAGAAAATAAAAAAAGAGAGTGAACTTGTGTGCGACGTGTGCTGATCCCCAAAAACAGGATGAGAGGATGGATGGATGGTAGGAATTAAGGAAGAATTTTAAGGAGGTAGACATGAGTAAGTGGGAAATTAAAGTTCAAAATAAAAGGGAAGGACTGGAAGGAGTAAAGAAAGAAATAGTTTTAAGCTGGTAAAAAGAATGACAGAATTAAGGAAAGTATAAGAATATTGTTAGAAAAAGGAAAAGTAAAAGGAACAAAACAATAAAACAAGGGAAGAAAAGGGATAAAGAGATGTAACAAGGCAGTGAATGCCACACAGGGAGGCCAGTGGGCAAAGCACATGGCCTGCCTGGATCCAGTCCCCTTCCTCAGAGGGGAAGTGGGGAAGCTGCTGGTCCGTGGTCACGTTGGCGAGTCGTCGCCGTCCACCAGCAGGGTGACATCATCATCTGTTTATAACTCAGCTGCCCATAGAGTCTCCCGCCTCACCTGTCACCGACCGGCCTGATTTAAGAACTGATTTGACATCACAGGGACACATGGAGCTTTAAGTGTGTTTAACCAACTGCCTAAAAAACGTGTTTGACCGTGGCTGCGCTGCACCCGCTCGGCCGTAATGTAACCTGATCCAGTGAGTCTGAGGCTGGCTTACAGACTTTTAAACATTCTGCGGCAGTATTAAAACACACAACGCACTTTAAACCTATTGCAATACATATACCTGCTGACTGTATCAGTCAAATGTAAACACTACACTAAGAGGTAAGACGTATGGTGCATTAGGCAGGAATAATTCCCTTTGTGTTTCCATCCACGGAGGATTAAAGCACCGCAGCTGAGGGAATGAAGATGGGGTGTTTTATGCAGGAAAGAGAACAGTAAACCTGCAGCTACAGCCCTATTATCTTTATGAGGAAATATTAGATTTTATGTGTGTGTGTGTGTGTGTGTGTGTGCACGTGTGTGTGTGTGTGTGTGTATATTCAGACCTGTGGCCAGCAGTCAGACAGTGTGCTCCTATGCAGGCCACACGCCAGTCAGGCCTGAGAGGCTGGGGCGGATTCTTGAATAGCCTAATAAACACCAGATGTTCCCTGGGTAATATATACACAGACCCTGTGCCGTGTCCATCTCCCCAGCAGGAATAACACAGCCAGGCAGAGCCAGCAAGCATCTGAAGGATCACATCGACAGCGGCACTTTTTGACATAAAGAGCTGTGAGGGCAAAATACGCTGATGCCAGTTTTAAGGGTGTGAGAAAGTGTGTACTAACAAATCTTTGCAACCCTCTTCCATCTGTGCCACCGCCTGCAATCAAGAGATAAACAGCCAATTGAAATTTCTTTTTTAAAAAAGCGCTTGGAGCCCCCCTGGCCAATTGCGTTTCTCCTTGCTGCCTTATCTGTGACAGACTCCTAGAAACTGATAGGGCCTCGTCGGGCCTCTGGATTCCGTTCCCCCGCACACTTACCAGCAGTTTATCTGGAGGCTGGAGCCTCTGTGAAATGGCAAACGGTGCCAGAGATATCATTCAACAAATCCCTGGCCTGCAGTCCCAGTCCCCCCCCCAAGTCCCCTTGTTGTTCCTGTAGGCAAGTAAGTGAAAGAAGAAAAACGCTTCGGCACACTGGCATCGCTCACTGCTCATGTTTGCCAAGACGACACAGCGTTGCAGTATGAGGAATTGATAAGATCTTAGTTTATAAGTGGCTGTGTAATGTCTCATGATGAACAAACGTTTGGTTCCTTATGAATATTTAAAAGTGTCGTCAATGCCAACAAAAATATTTATCGACGCATGACATTTGTGGCATGTAGAGGCTGAAGGAGATAGCTGCAAACATTACAGTGCTTCCATGACCTACAGAACATGAGAGGTCATTAATCATAGCTACAGTGAGGATTTAAGAGCACGCTCAGTACACTCTCGGTCTACTTGTTCTCATCACTATGTCTTGACATTAAGAGCACAAAGTCTTATAAATGGCAGCTCACACTGCATGTAGTTGTGTTTGGGCGTGCCTCTGCTTTGATGTGGCGTTTGCAGGCGCTGTGCTGTAAACAGGTACCGTCAACATAAATCTAGCTGAGCGGTTGCTGATTCTTCTGAGGCAGAGAGCCTCTTCCAGCACGAGAGCATTCCTCGGCGGTCACTCAGCGACCTGTCTGCCTACTCGCTGGCTGCAGGCGCTATCTGCCTGTCTCCCTGCCTGTCGGGTGGATATATCCACCTGCTTCCTCTACTATACGTCCACCTCTGCTTCTGTCACTACCTGTGGATTTATCCGTCTCTGGAGTCTGGATCTGCTTCTCTTTAGAGCATCTGTCATCTTAACTGTTTTCTTTTCTTCCTTACCTGTTTCTCTCTGTCCGTGTTTAATGCTTTAATCTGCGGCTTTTGTCTTTTGTTCTTGATTTTATGGTGAGGAAAGTGAATCAGTCAGAAAAACTGTAAAAACTAGCAAGAGTCTGCAGGTTTCCACTGCAAGCACTTTGATCCCAAAACATAACTAGAGCAGCTGATTTCACTGATTAGTTCCCTCTTTCTTGGTTGAAGTTCATCAGTGAAATCATCTGCTGATTCCTGAGCTACACTATTCCTCTGTCTCCATCCTTCTTTCTCTCTCTTTCCTGTTTTGTTCTTTTACGAGCGGCTGGCAGCATCAGATTGTACTGTTTCAATTCAAAACTGCGATAGATAATCAGTCCTAACTTTTTTCTTTTTACATATCAGGCAATATGTCAGACTCAATGATCCGATTCATGTGAAACTCAGGGAAATGATGCTTCTTAAATGCGTTCCAAAATTTTCAAAATAATACTGATTGAGCCAAGGGGAGCTACAATTAAAGGGCACATATGAAAAGGCAATAACTGCTCGGATTTCCCACACTGCACTAGATGTTTGAACCTTTACATCCACGTTGCTCTCCAAGACTGTCAACATATAATATTAGATTTTTCACTGTACTAAATTACTTAAAAATCTGTTCTTCATTTGTCCGCTTAATAGCTGAATGGCTTACTGCATCATTTCTGTATTTAAATTTTTACATCAACAACGGAACAAATGACAAAAGATTTCCCCTCAGAGTTTTAGCGTAATCCAGCTCATTGTTTTGGTTTTTAGGGCCAGCAACATTACTGCTTTGGTTCACCCTCTTGGCTCTCATCAGCCAGCAGCTGTATTTAGTGAATAAGCTCTGATAAACCCACTGTACATGACCTGCCCAGCACCAAACAGCAGACAGAACAGAGTTAGCGACTAGCTGGTGAACATGCAGTATTTAGCAGCTAAAGAGACAGATATTTCTCTCAGCAGTTGGTGGAGACCATAAACAGAGCCTAAGGCCATTGAATATTTGACATTGCATGTGGCCAAAAAACAACAACTCCAAATGCATTCTAATGTTACTGCTGAATGTGTAGGCAATGATTGCTAACACATTAGCCATATCATCTTTATAAAGTGAAGTACATTGTCAGTGTTTTGTTGCTTGTGCTGCTGCCCCCAAGAGGCTAAAAAAAAAAATACTGCTTCAATCAATGCCAAAATTCTAGCAGTCAAATGCAATGATCCCAATAATACAATTTACATTGTCAAATGACACACTTTTAAGTCTCAAATCGCCCTCATTGTGAAAATAACATATTTTCTCTCTAATCCCTTGTATCTGGTATCTAACCATGAAAGCAGTTTTTGAGATATCCATCTCTGATATTTCTACCTCAACCACAATCCAAAGTGGTCTCAAAACAACATCCTTATTACTCTGGATAATAACAGTTTCTATTTATCCAGTAAAAGTAGTTACAGTGAAAACTGTTCTGTGGCTCACCCAGAGTAACAGGACATTGTTTCTGAAAAGAAAGGTTGGATTTTTTTTTATGTAATTTTGTCAATGCTGTGAGGACCACAGTCAAAGATTGGTTTACCTTCATTGCATCGAGGTTGTGGCAGAAATCTCAAAACCTGGACAAATAAAACTAAAACTATCACAATAGTTGAGGTTTATTTGTACCTTTATATCGTATAACTTACTGGACAAAACCTTGTTCATTGTATTTCTCAACATTTCCCTCTTCCTGACTTACTCACACTACAGTGTAAAAGCATGTGTGGAAGTGTGTGTGTGTGTGTGTGTGTGTGTGTGCGCGTGTGTGTGTATGTGTGTGTGTGTGCGCCTGCATGTGCAGCAGCTCAGTGTTGGAAGGCGTTACTCACGAGGCATGATGCCTTGGTCTGCCAGCTGCTCTCGTGTCCTCCTCTGCTGAAGTCTTAACTGTAGGACTGAAGTTGGAGGAAGAAGGAGGAGGAGGAGGAGGTGGGTAAGATGGATGGAGGGGAAGAAAACAAGAGACAGAGATGTGGAAAGACAGGTAAGGGACAGAAAAAAAGCAGGAAGAGACTGAGAATTCAACCCACTTTAAATGTTGTTTCATAATTCTAACTTGTAGTTGGATTGAGAATAATTTAACTTCCCCTATAGGCTTAAATATAAACTAAAGATGTCATATATACATGTATTTATGCATCTATATGCATACAGAAAACACAGAAAAAACAACGCTGCCTGCTCGCAAATATTTCTGTGAGCAGGATGTAGGGAATGATAAACACAGCTCCTGGCTTTTAAACAGATCTGCTAGGCAGTGTGTGGTCCGCAGCGTGCACACGTTTCTGCATGCTGTATGTCTGTGTGTGTGTGTGTGTGTGTGTGGAAGTGGTCTAGGTGGGAGTGTGGGGTCATAAACATAGAGCCTCCCCCATGTCTGTTGGTCTGCTTGTGTCTGTGGCTCTTTTGCTTTCTTTTTCTTCGTCTGTGTGTCTGTGCGTGTATTTCCTCCTCGCCGTTATCTGCAAGTCTCTCTGTGAGACCCTGGATCTGACACAACAGTATGAAATGTTCCTCCTTTTCTGCAAGTCCCTAATCACTTTCTGCTTGTTAAAGATCTCCCTCAGGTGGTTCATGTTTGCGCAAATTTGGCTGCATTTAAGCGTTTTATGAATTTCCTCAAACCTCTCAGCTTTGATGTAATGACTTTTCTAACAGTTTGACTGAATATCAGCGAGCTCGGGTGCCACATAATAGGGCTCTTTTGGGAGAGCACCTCCATTATGTAACACCAGGCCCTTCCCTTCATCTCACATCTGCTTTAGTTTACAGTAAGGGGGTCGTGACCTGCTGGTCGCAACATCACAGAGAGCAAACGCTGACTGAAAGCTGACCGAAACATGTAACTGATACAGCCTTTGACAAGAGGAGTTTTGTATTATCCCCTACAATAATAAGCACCCATCCATGTATACAGGCAGGTTTAGTCTCTTCTGTCATGGAAACAGCAAGGTGACAATGGAATGTAACTGTTAGTGTTAGTTAATTCTGCGGACCGTCTTTGATTTCAACTCAAGTGGCTGCTCCTCACTGCTCTGTATTGTGTTTACTGAAAGGTTATGAATAATTCTCTCAGAAAAAGCACAGCAGCCACTAGATAATCTGTTCCTTCTCTTAAAAAGCTTCTCTGTTTGGTTGTTACAGCTTTGTTGTTGTTAGGGCAGACTAAAAGCAGAAGTTATTACATCATTTGTTCCATTTGTATGTGTGTTATTGTGTGTTTGACTAATAATAATAATTAAAAAATAATAATAATTTGTTCCATTTAATTCTAACGCAGCCAAATCCTGAACTAAGTTGTAGGCAGTCATGTGCTGTGCTTCTAACCAGCTAATGTGACAAGCTCACGTTACAGTACAGCCTTAATGTTTGGATGCAAGCAAACCAATATGACAAGCTAACGTTATGGTGAGGCAACTGCTTATTGCCTCTTGTCTCTTCTGTCATGGAAAAAGCAATGTGACAACTGTTGTTTGCTAATTCTCTAGAGCCTCTTTGATTTTAACTCCAGGGACGGCTCTCTGCTGCCCTGTTTACTGAAAGGTTATCAATAATTATTTCTCAAAAAGCTCAGCAGCTGCCATATAATCGGCTCTTATTCTTAAAAAGCTTATCTGTTTCATTGTTACACCTTTGTTGCTAGGGTAGAGACTTAAAAAAGCAAAAGTTTGAACTAATTTGCACCAGTAAATAAAGTTTTGCTCAGTTGAATTCTAACACAACCTACCTAACCAAATCCAAAAGTATGTTGTAGGACTGGTGTACCACTAATTTGTGGTGCCTCTAACAAACGAATGGGACAAGCGAACGTTGCAGTAAAACAGCTGCTAACATGCTTCATTTGGTCCATACATGCAGGTTCAGTCTCTTGTGTCATGGAAAAAGCAAGGTGACAATGGAATGCAACTGTTAGGGTTAGGTCATTCTGCGGACCGTGTTTGACTTTAAGTCAAGGGACAGCTACTCTGCATTATGCTTACTGAAAGGGTTATCAATAATTCTCTCTGAAAAAGAACAGCAACTCCTCCATAATCTGCTCTTTCTTTCACAAAGTTTCTCAGTTTTACGTCACTTTTAAAACAAAGTTTGGTCAAATTTGCATTAAGGGATCATTTTTTGTTCCATTTAATTCCAACACAACCCACGTAGTCAAATCCTAAAATATGCTGTAGTAGACAGTTTGTTCCGTTCATTTGCCATCAAGATAATGCATGTGACAAGCTAACGTTATGGTAAAACAGCTGCTTACGTGCTTCATTTTGTCCATACATGCAGGTTTTGTCTCTTCTGTCATGGAAAAAGGAGGGTGACAAATTGAATGTAGCTGTTATTGTTTGCTAATTCTGGAGTGCTTCTTTGATTTTAACTCCAGGAACGGCTCTTTGCTGCTCTATGTTTACTGAAAGGTTATCAATAATGCTGCCTGAAAAAGCACAGCAGCTGCCATATAATCTGCTCTTTCTCATACAAAGGTTCGCTCAGACCAGAGGGTTGTCTGTCCTGATTGCAGAGTGTACATGTTATAGAAAGAGGACCCCAGCCAGGCTGTGTAATCACGGATCACTGAACCATACAATACTCTGCCTCTCTCACTGTTGACTTTGAAACTGAAGACATTTGTTTTAACTTAGGCTTTCTTGACAACAAAGGACATACAAATCCACAGCCACATTTACAAGTTTTCAGATTTATAGTGTAAATAAATTATCATTTGGCCTGGTTTGCACTGGTGAAGTGGTGATAATTACACAAGACAGTGAAGTGATATTCTGATTTATTGTCCTCCTGTGCCTCACACATTCACAGCCACCAAACAGGCTAATAATAACACCACACTTTTCCACTTAAACTCCAACATCTTAGCAAATGAGATTGGCTGCATTTGTTACATGAATTCTCCTGAACTTTCCCTTAGCACAAGCAGGAATGTGTTCGCGACAGATGTACGAGCGCGACTGTATAACTTCTAATAAACAGGTATCCCTAAATGAAGTATTAGGTTTATTTTAAGTCTAATACCTCTGCATAAAGTGAAAATCCACCTTAAAACAGAACTCATATATTTTATTCCTATGGTCTTGGACATTTAGAGGCAGATTTGTGAACGTGAGCCAGAGACAGATGCAAGAGAGCCAACACTCCACCATTAAGATACAGTTTCTGGAGCAGCTCCATTGACAGTGACTTATAGTCAACAGTGGGATAGTAGGGTGATGCAGAAAAAAAACTCACTTGAACGCACGAGCCAACCCATTCCACAGGTAAGTGCTTTTTTATCTGTTGCCAGAATGCCATTCATTGTCAGTGGAGGGTGTCTAGGTTTTGTCTCTCATATTACTTATTCTCAGTTTTGTCAGAAATATTAGCACGGATACGGGATCTGCCAGGATGACTGGAGTAACATGTGATGAAGGTAAATTAATATGAAAACTGATAACAGTTGACACTGTTGTTTAAATTTGTATGAACAAATTCGAGCTAACATAATTCATTCTAATTAACACAACTCTCTAGCCTAGTTCTAGTCCAAAGGTTTGTTGTGAGTTGACGTTCTGTTCCTCACTTGAGTGACAAGCTAACGTTACAGATTTTTTCCCTCTACAGTTTCCAGTTCAAAATGTTTTCTCATACATATTTCTCAGATGATTTGGTGTCATGATTACCTGTTTAGCACCACGCTAGTTTCTCTATTTACATTAGCTTATCGGACAACAATTGCTTAGTTTACGGTCTGCTGCGCTCCAGAAAAGTAGTTCTTGGACAAATCAATTGTATAAAAAATACCAAAATATTTTTCATATTTTTCCATGTAGTAGTTTGTTCTTCTCAGTAACATCCAGCATCATCATGTTCGAAAAATTCTGAATTGGGTATGGAGGCTGACACAAAACAGGTGTTTCAGAAGACAGTACCTGTGTGTGGTGCTGATTTACTATTCAACATATGGTTGACACCTTGTAGTATTGATATAACATATATTTGACGCCTCTGTCATACTATTATGTAACGGCAGCGAGCTCAAGAGCACAGGTCACAGCTCTTTGAGCTGTTAATCAAATCGGCATGAGAACTAGTCACTGACATACACACTCACAAAACATTCGGCAGTCCACGGGGAGCACTTAAATTAGATCTTTATCTTTCCTTTTAGCTTCAACCATGCAGCAGCAGTTCCCATGGCTTTGATAATGTAGTTTCAAGCGTGGCGCAAAAGGAACAATGTTTGCTGGTTTTCATGGGGTGCAGAATGTAAGTCGAGCTGCTGCAGCTTAAAGAAAACTGTAAATCCTGCACAACCTGATTGTCTAAGACTCCCCCTGTCATCAGCGGTTATCACCGAGAGAATTATGGGCAGTTTTACTTCTCTTACGCTTAATATTTCACTCATGCACACATAAATTCACTTGACCAGTCATGTCGGTTGTGCGTTGTATCACCCAACATTAATTCCTCCAACTGTAACATCAAGCAGACTTGTTGGAAGATGACCTTTATGGCAATAAAGACAATCTCTACATCTGTGGCATATTAACCAGCTAGAGCACGTGGGTTAGAACAACACAGAACCTGAGCCACCTTGGTGAAAAGCCTCCTGCCGCTTTTGAACACAGCCATCCACCCTCTCATGTTCCCCGGAGCACTGGGGGTCATTTCCCACCCTGCCAATCTGCTCTAAACAACTCAGAGGAAAAGCATAATTTAGCCTGCCATTTCTGGAACGCAATTACAGCTCACAGACGAACTCCAAGTAAGGGCTGAAGCCAGCAGTACAGCAGTGTGAAGTGTTGCTTTCAGAGGCGATCATGTATACCATACGCTTTACAGACTAGAGAGCAGGATTGGAGCTCTGTTGTTGCCACCATCAGTTACATTTTCCTCAGGGAGGTGGCAGTGTTGGTCAGACTTCACACAGTGTAGTGGTACAGCGCACGCACGCACGCACGCACACACACACACACACACACACACCACTCAGCCTCACAAAGTATCTTCAAAATAAAGACAGTTACTAAGAAAGGGTGTGTGTTTAAGAGCAAGCTAGAGTGATGGAATTAAAGAGTGTGTGTGTATGTGAGAGAGATAGATGAATTCAAAGCCCCAACAGCTGCTCAGCATTAAGGGGAGTTTAAATCAGCGCAGTAGTTCGTACCTTTCCTCCCTCTTTGATATGCCCAGGTACACACACACATACGCACACACCATCAGCTTCCAATTCAGCCTTATTAAGATAACCTCTGACCCCTCTCCAGTGCCTAATCTCCCTTTATCAGCGTTCACAGAGCCACAGAGTGAGAACGTCTCACTGGCTTGCCTCAGCAGCAGCAGGTTGGCGGCTGGCACGGAACAAGTGCACTGACCTGCCCGAGACATCACCCTCACATGTCGTGCTTTTATGAGGAGGAGGATGAACATCAAAGAACACGCCCAGCTGTAAATCCATCACACTGTGACAGGGCGCATCGTACTCGGGAGGATTTCTGACTTATGCTGGCCTCCCTCTGGTATTTCTCGGCCTGTCACGTGCCCGCAGTATATTACACACACCTGTCACTTTGCTGGTGTCAACACAACTCATCCGTGAAGAGGGATGAATGACATAATGTACACAGGATGCCACAGTGTTGACAGACAAATTGTTTGCGAGGTTCTTGAGAATAAACACAGCTGTACACAGAAACTGATCACTAATCAACATGTCAGTGCATGCACAGATACACAGATGGGAAAATAAGTCACATGTCAATCAAGACTTGGCTTACCTGATCTAAACTTGCTTCGTATCAGTATGGAGTGTTCAGAGCCCAGAAGAGTCATAATGCTTACAGTACAGTTCCAGTGTTCAAGAGTTGCAAAATAAAGTCACACACACTCGAGAAGCGGTACACACTTCGACCCCCCTGGCCACCTCTGCACGCCAGACTGAGATGAGATGGAGCTGACCCAGCCTGCCTCATCAACAGCTCTGGAAGAAAACTAGTAAGAAAAAAATAAGACACACACTCTGGCTTTCTTGTATCTCTCGCAGCCAGTGTGTGCACTAGCAGCAGCCCTCTGCTCTGTGTGTTGCTTTCTCTTCCTGCCTCCTCTTCCCTGCTCTCTCTCCCCCAGAGGCTGTGTGTGTGTGTGAGTCTGGGGCCAGCGAAGCTTTGGTCCCATCTAGCCGAGAACTCTGAGCAGGGCCAGGGACAGCACAGAGATATGCCCTGCTCGGGGAGGGGCTAACAGGCCAGGGTTTCCTTTAGGCCCCGCCTGCCAGAGCCTGGAGGCTGGACAGGGCTTGGCTGATGACTTCTTCCTCCCTTGCCACCAGTGTAAATATATCTGCCTATCAGCCCTGCTGACTGTCATTAAAGAGGAGGGAGGGAGAGCTAGATAGAGAGAGAAAGATCAAGATAGAGACACAGATAGTGGAGCAGCAGTACAGCCAGGAGGGGGAAAGTGGGAAAAGCAGGGATGGCAACAAGTTTTACTTCTTGTCTTGTGGCAGCAGATGAAAATGCTTTTCAGTTTCCAATAATATATGCTGCTGACACTGTGTACTGAGCGTACTGTACCGAAAACAAATTCCACTGACTCTGGTCATGTGGCCATTAAAGTGAAGTGCTTCTGACATAAATGTATTCGTACAATCAGACTGGACAAGAACACTAGAAGATATGCTGGGTATCAGACACCAAACCTTTTTTACTGTAGCACTGTAACTGTAAAGTTTCAAAAGTTGCCATTCAATACTTCTCTACTTGTTTACTTTAAATGATCTAAAACAGGAAAACGTTCTAAGACTATAGTTTTTCATTTAAAGCATGGCTTTATTAAGGGAGAACTGGATACAGCATTGGTGGTGAGGCATTGTTTATTCTTACGGAAGCTACTCAGTGGCATAGGAAGCCAAAACAGTTTGATTTCCTGGTGTAAAATAACCCTGATCTTCCACATATGCTTCTGCATTGAGACTTATGTTCGCTAATTCACTAACTTCCAGTTTAGCCCTCCACTAACTTCAATGGGAATAAAATGATTTAATCGTACGGCTCTTCTAGACTGTAATGTAATCGGACTGAATGGATGAAATATCAGTTCTCTGGGATTGTGATGCTGAAAAAAAATGTATCCACCATATGTCAAATTGGCTTCAAAGCCCTTCCCGGGGTGTGAATTACAAATCAATATCTTTCTATAAACAATAAATTAAATCACTACATTTACTGAGAAAGTTCATATTTGCCAGCTGCAAAGACTGCAGCTACCCTCAGCTCTATAGAGCATTTTAGCATCTTCCAGCTCATTGTTTTGGTTTTAGCTTTAGTAACGTAATGTTTTGGTTCAATCTCCCTTGTTTCCTGCAGCAGAAGGCAGTTGTTTTGAGTGGAAACCACAGTACACTACCTGCTCAACACCAAACAACAGGTAGACAAAGTTAGCAAGTAGCTGGTGAAGGTTTTAACAGATATTTCCTTTGTTGGTGGAGACCAAAACAGAGAATAAATACTGGATTCACAGCCATCAGGTGGTCACTGCCAGTAATGGATGCAAATGTTGCTCTGTGTCCTCTGATGTGTAAATATGCAACTGTTTGCTAACATACTGTTTATATCAACTTTATTTTAAAAAAATCACCTCATGCCACAGATGCATTGTGTCAGTAGCTAGGATTTTCCAGCAATATCCAGCTCTACAAGATAGGCTATAAGATATGTTATGATTTTCTTTAATGTTCCTCACAGTTTGTAATATAATAAACATTGTCCTTTTCTCCTTAATCTACTGTTTTCCTTCTCTGTATGATTTGGCAATACAAATGTATTTACAGTACTTGTCATGCCAAGAAAATAAATTGGAAAAAAAAATATGAGTGACATGGTCAGAGGAATTATTGGTCACCATGAAAGTAAGAATTAGACAATCTCGGATTTGAAGTCTGAGATTTCATCAAAGGCAACATGTCTTTTAAAGTGAGATCCTATTGACTTAATTAAGGGTAAATGTTGTGTTAGTTGATATAAAGTATATGGAGGGCTTTTTATGGGAGAACAATTTCAAATGAATGCTTTGATTTTTGCTTATTTTGATAGATGTTGTTTTATGATAATGACTACATCACTGGTAAAAGCTGTCCTGCCTACAAAAACATCTATGTAAATCTCTCTGGTGAATACCAGACCCCATCTAGCTTACTGTAAGCTCGATGGGGTCTTTTTACACTTTCACATATGGACATAGACTACAATAAGTGATCAGTGTGGTCAGTCACCCAGCAGCTGAGAAGCAGGGGGTTTATCATATCAGTAGTGTGATAGCAGATTCTCCAGCCTGCATTCAACAAAGCATCCCTTCCTCCAGCTCCCACATACCACGCAGACATTTGTCAGAGTTGAACTAATCTCTGTGCCCACTCTCCTCGGAGGGTGTCGTGAGCCAACTGCAGCTCCTATACGTCGCAGTGCCTCCTAAATGTCCGTCAACACGGGACGTCAGCTGGACACGTCAAGGCTTTCTCTCCAGTTTATTCCCACGCTTGATTTGAACATAATATGCAACCTAATTCTTGAAAGTAGGCACAGTAGAAACATGGAAATATTATGTTGTTGGAATGTCATTTATGTGTCCTTGTTTTGTGTTACACAGCAGGTGTCAAAGTCCGTGATGGCTGTTGTTCCAGAAGGCTACTGTCTCACTAAACCCTGATTAAAGGGTTCAGTGGTTACAGCTGAGAATGTGGGGAGGCTAAATGGTGAAATACAGTACGTGTCCCTGGACCAGTCTGGCTTCCTGTCCCTACATACTCTGTGCAAAGGGCAATTCAAGAAAGTCACAAGACTAAGAAGTCATAAGAAAACTAATTTGAACCTTTTTTATTACAGTATTTCACTTTCGTACTTCTTTCAAGGTAACTGGTCTTGATTATTTCTAAGTAAGATATTTGATTTATTCCACAGATTAGGAAAAAGACTGAAAAGGGAATTGCGTTGTTGTCATGCTAATATCCCAATTACCTGTTAAAGGAATGGTTCAAAATGTGTTCATTTATTTTAGTATAGTTTATTCTTGCAGGGACAGCGCACAATTAAAAGTAATTGCACCAGAGTTAACTAACTCAGTTTGCATCTGTTGTCCCGTTTGATGATATTTTAGGGAAATAAGATTATTAGCTGAGATTAGCCTGGAGTTATATGATTAGATTGACACCACTGTCATGTCTCTAAGTATAGAGCTAGAGCCATGATACAATTATCTCAGCATAACGACTAATCTACACATCTACCAAGACCTGTAATGTTTGCTAACTAACATTTGTCTACAGCACATAACTCCCTGTAAAATCACAACTTTTCATTCATTTAATTAATTTTCCGATCAAACAATTTCTGAAAAAATCAGACTCAATATGGAATTGTATCTCCAATTATGTTTTTTCTAAAATTGGTGGTTTAAAATTCCTTTTAGTGTGTCACTATAACATAGAAAAGATTTCTGTTCACCTTTCCACTTTTCATAAACAAGTATTGCTTGCATGGTCGATGATATACAAACACAATTTTTTCACCGCACCCTTATTCTATATGGAATAATAAAGATATACTCTACAAGAACAGATCCATATTCTTTGGGGAATGGTTTAACAATAATATTATTTGGGTAAGACAACTATTCAACAGCAATGGTGTTTCATTTTCTTATCAGGAGTTTCTTCAACACTATAGGATACCTATAACTCCTAAACAGTATGCTATAGTCTTCGATGCTATTCCATCTGGTGTACTCATGTTATTCAAGAGTAATATGTCTGTTTCTGTGCTTGATGTTCCTTTTACTGATGTAACTGACTCACCAGTTGGTAACGTATGCTTCAACCCATCTGGCTGTAAGAATAACCGTAAGATCCGTGCTCTTTTCCAATGTAATATTGTTTCTGTTCCACCTGGAATATCTTACTGGAATAGTCGTCGAAACAACTTATGTTGGGAAAAATCTGGTCCCTGCCTCAAAAATTCTTTGTGGTTAATAAGGTAAAAGAAGTGTCATTTAAAATTATTCATTGATGTTACCCGGTTAGATCCTTCTTTATCAAATTCAAATATGTTGATTTAGATCTAAATTGTGCCTTTTGTGACTCCCATACTGAGACTGTTATCCATCTGTTTTGGAAATGTAAATATGTATTTTCTGTGACTTTAAGCTCCTCTTGCAGAATGTGCTTTTTGGTTTTTTAAAGAGTGATATTTCAGGTGAAAAATAATTTTATTTAATTAATCTCATTATAATTCTTGCAAAGTTTTACATCCACAAATGTAAATTAGCCAAAGTGAAACCTCTTTTACGTGTTTTTATGAAAGAACTGGAGTTGTATTTTAAGTCAATATCTTCTGCTAAGAACAAGAAAGCTATCAAAACTGTGAGACTGTGCTCCCACTTTGATATCTTTAATTCAATTACATTTTTCTTTGCTCGTAACCCCTGGCATGTTTTTATTTCTTTTTATTTGTGTATTTATTTTCTGTATCATTTATTTGTTTTTCAGTTATTGTTATTGCAATGTTTACCCTGTTGTTTCTACTACTATGTATGTTTTGAAAATAACTGATACATAAAGTAAAAAAAAAAAATAATAATTTTCCCATTTCTGTTATTGTATTAGATTAGAAAAAGAAGATACAGGGTCGGCATATTTTTTAACTTTGAATAAAGCCAGGCTAGCTAGTTTCGGACATTGTTTACGCTAGGTTAAGCTAATGTCATGAGAGTGGTGTCAATCTAACCGTGAGCTAGAAATCTAATTAGCATTTTACCAACATGCTGAGCAACTCCTTACGAGAAATCTACGTTTTATTTTGAGAATAAGATCAATCTTAAAACTAGACAAGAAAAATAACACAATTGTTATTCTTTTTTCTTTTACTGAATTAAATATTGAGCGTTTTGTATCTACAGAGGGAGCGGACCTTTTTCCATGGAGTCCGCCATGTTGACCTGCATGTTTCTACAGTAGCCCACAACGGACAAACCAAACACTGGCTCTAGATGGGGCTTACTGCGTTTTTTCTCGGCCACTGTAGTTTCTCCTATGTACGTAGTGAGGCAGGGGTCGTAATCTGCACCAACACCAGAAGGTGCCACTAAACTACGCACTGGTCCTTAAAGATAGATCTGGACTGGTGTTAAGAAAAATGTGGCTTTTACTTGAAACGG